TAAAGGGGGTCTATTAACTTGCTGAAATTGATTCGTTATAGTGGGTTTGGGTATTTCCTTCGGTTTCTTACGACAGCACCCACAACAAAAACTCATCGTGCTCTTTATTCGTTACTAATCATTGATATAGATATAAAATAGTTTATATTGTTACTATTATTAAAAAAATTATGGGAATATTTACAAAAAACATCATAGGTAATAATTTAAAATATTGTGTTAATAGGGAGGGGGGAGGAATTGGAAAGTTTTAGAAAAGGTCAAAGCTACTATAAGGGCTAATTAATATATTATCAATTTTTGATAAATTTTTTTGAAAATTTATACAATGTATAAAAAATTTTGTTATATTATAATTTTTAAATTTTTTTTATAAAATCTCTTATAAGACTTTGTTATAATCTTTTTTTTCTCATAAGATTTATCAATAATAACAATTTTGTGCTTTCGATTCACTTTCATCGATTATCTTCTACTCGCTAATACACTTTTAAATGGTGAAAATGATGCTCCACGAGAAAATGTTGATACATTAATATAGCTCTGTTTTTAAGCTGTATTACCATTTTCTTTACATCAAGATTATTTACTTTTCTGATAATTCATCAGCCAAGATCAACTGGCGATTTTCATTTGATAATAAAAGTATCATCCATATTAATATTAGTATTAGTTAAAGGACCAATTAATAAGAATTTTTGATAAAATTTTGGATATAAATTGATAGAAGGATGTTTAAATTCATGAAAATATTTAGTCATCTTCGGAAAATCTTTCGAGAGTTAAACATAAACATCACTAGATTAATTAGATAATATCAATACAGGATAGCAAAATATTAATAGATGTAATAAATGACTGTTATATAATATTTGACAACCTACTTTTAATGTATATAAATTAAATTAAAAGAATTAAGGAAAAGTTCTTCTTTTAAGAGGGAAGCGCAGAAGTATCTCCACATCAACAAAACCCTCTAGATTTTTAAAGTCGATGACTTCCTATTTATGACGAAATATTTAAAGATTTAATTATAAAATGAATACTGGCTGTGGCTAACCTCCCCTCCCCCCCGAGTGAACCTTTTTAATGATATTTTAATGACGCAATTGTAATATACCCCACTGTATTAGTGAGCCACCGTAGGTATAGCCTTCCTCCGAATTTAAGACTATCCAAAACAATGATGTATGTTAAACTTAGGTTTTAGATCTCGTTCATAGTAAGCACGATTATCGCTGAAGCGATGCGTAATTTATTAATGATAGCAAAAATTAAAAATGATGTCTTTTGTAATTTACTCATTGTTTACGCAACATCGCGGTATTTCGCGCTTACTTTAAACGATGCCTTACATTTTATATTCATAACTATTTGAATTTTTTTTTGTCTTAATCCTCGTATTCATAATAAAAAAAATAATAGCTCTATAGAAAAGCATTTCAAAATTAGTAGTTTTTAAAGGCTTGATTTCTAAAATATTATGCAATCCTGGAGATTTTCTCTAGATGGCAGAAAAGTTTGGACATCTATTAACAAAATCGAGAGGCTTGCATAATATTAATTTGGTTAAAATTTTAATTTAAAACCAACTAAATCGATTTTAACAACACTAATCGACATTTTTAATTTCTTTTACTCTTGGAAGAAATTTAATTTTCAGATAATATACGTGTCACTTATTGATCAACAAAAAAAAAATTTCTTTTCCGACCTAAAAATTCAGCAAATATACATTTATTAAATTAGTAAGAAGAAGTCGAAACTCTGAAAATTAGTAAGGAAACATTTAATGGGGAAGAACTTAAAATTTTTTATGTAAATCCTAAAGAAAAATAAACAAAAACAAGGAATATAAATAAGGGGAGAAGCTAGAAGGAATTTTTTTTAAAAAATTCCAAAATTTTAATATTACTTACGATAATAATCATGGGAATATTAAACTGAGTCATATATTTAAAAATGTATTCATTTTTTTGGTTTAAATTTCAAAAAATAAAAAGACGATTCTAGAATATATTTTTAAAAATTATTATACCAAATTAAAATTTGTTTTAAATAATGAAAACAGAAATGATAATGCTTTAAATAGAATCGAATACTCAAACACTCAATTCGAATCATTTTAAATGAATAAGTATAATAAGATAATCACCTATCCATAATATGTATTATTCGATTAATTTCTTAATTCGAAATGAATAATAAAGCCAAGCACCAACCCACTCACTTAACCCCCCAACTGAAACATGATTCCTACAATAACTAATTAGATCAATAAAACATTCACGCATAAACTGCTAACAATAAAACCATGCACCCAAAGATAATAGTCTAGTTTCTCGCAGTATTTATTTATATTCGATCTATAAAACAAATAAAAATGATTTAATAAAAAAAAATAAGTATAGTATAAAGTAATATAAAAAATCTACAGGCTTATTTAGGAACAGATTAGGTGGTTAAAATATCTCCTGACAATAAAATGTTTTATTAATATTTTTTAATTTTAATATATACCATGTGTTCAATAACACGTCATTAGATCTCATTTTCAACCTGAGAAAATATTGGAATTCCTCCAACTAAATTTGTTCCAAACATATCACACAATTTTATGCTTATTAATCAAGACAAACTCACAAAAAGTCTAGTTTCTTCACTCGCAGTATTTATTTATATTCGACCTATAAAACGGATAAAAATGATTTAATAAAAAAAAAATAAGTTTAGTTTAATGTAATATAAAAAATCTACAGGCTTATTTAGGAGCAGATTAGGTGGTAAAATATCTCCTGACAACAAAATGTTTTATTTATAATTCTTAATTTTAATATATACCATGTGTTCAATAACACGTTATTAGATCTCATTTTCAACCTGAGAAAATATTGGAATTCCTCCAACTAAATTTGTTCCAAACATATCACAATTTTGTGCTCATTAATCAAGACAAATTCACATAGGATCCCAGGTTAAAACCAATTAAGTTGTTGCACCTTTCTTCATTCAACCCTTGTGTTTCTTTCAAAATAGAAAAGATCTTACTCCTAATTTTTTCTCATAAATAGTTTAAAGGCGTGATAATTCCACGCCTTTTTTTATCTCAGAATCAGAACTAACCCTGTTTTTAAATATCCTATTCCTTCTAAAATTAAAAGAATCTGAAATCAAGGAATTTACTGAAGTTATTCTCAATTATAAAATAAAATTATTTAGACTCAAGCCTCCCTCCCAAAATAATAAAAAATACAGTGGACTAAGACGTCAGATCTCGCAGATTTAGCTTTAACATTTAAAGATGCATTAAATTATTTATAGCATGTGTTTTTTAATGTTGTAAGATCGCATTTTGTCAGAATTGCATTTCAGTATAGAATAACCGTAAACAATTTTACTCTGAATTTTTTTTTAATATTAATATAAATTAAGAATACTTAAAAAAAAGAAATTTATTTTAAAGATATGTTCAAACTTTTAAAAAATCTAATCAAATTTGAAATATTTAAAAAAAATAGCAAAAAGTTTTAATTTTTTAAACGCCGCCATGGCCTCCTAAGTCCACTTGAGAAAGGAGGAAGATTTCCGTCAGGTTTGTAGCAGGCAATAAAAAATACCGCCAAAAATGACAAGTCCTAAATATTTTTTAAACAAGAAAGCTAAGGCGTCCACATAAGCGACGCCCTGTGCATTCGCTCGTGCAAAGCGATAATTGATTTTTAGGGCTACCGCCTGACTTTAGTTAGAATATTGGAACATGGCAGGCAAAAGTATCGAATTGGTGAACACAATAAAGAAAGGTATGATGTCGTATGCATGATCGAGAGTCAAAAGAGCTCGGAAAAGGGTATAGTTTGTACTACAATGGGTCTGCGGTAAAAAGGAATGGAGTGGGTATTATCTTGAAGGAAAAGCTCATATAACGTGTTCGAAGTCAAGAGGTTCATGGATCGCCAAATGTGAGTCAAGCTCACTGATGATGGGGGCCCGCTTTACATTATAGATCACAGGTTAGATGCTCGGAGATGGAGTAGTAAACTTTTAACATAGCTGGAAGCAGTTATTCAAATTCCAAAGTAGGATGAAATGTTAATGGGGGCCAATTTCAATGGGCATGTGGGCATAAAGGTCGGGGTTTAAACGAAATCATGGTGGACATGGCTGGCTACGGGGTAAGAAGTAAGAAAGAGGAAAGAATGTTGCAACTAGGCCAGGTGTATGACATGTCAGTGATCAACACGTTTTCCAAAAATGGACGGAACACTTGGTAAAACATAAAAGTGGGCTTCATCGAAGAGTTGAAAATCTATGATCAGGAGTAATCATCTTTGGAGGATCCAGGATTGAAAAGTTATACCGGGAGTCGAAATTACTAGACAGTATAGACCCAAAGTGATGGAGTATGTAAGAAAGAATGGTGGTGCCGCAAAAGAGAAGATCGCTTAAGCCTCGGACAAGATTCGATCGGTTAAAAGACGAGAAAGTGACGAATCTCTCTCACATATTAGCAAGAATATTGTTAGTAAAAGTTGACTGGAAAGAGACTGGCAACAATACATGAAGCAAGGTGGCATTGAAATGATAAATAATGTCGTTGATATTCTTGGGAAAACTAAAGAGACAAGGCGCTGAAGAGAGAGAAGTGGTTGTAAAATTGTGTCAGTGAGAAGAAAAGACTCTACAAGATATATATTTCTCAGGGTCTGAACGACAGGAAGGCTTCCCAGGAGTATAAAGGTTAGCAATGAAAGGCAGTGACGATGGAAAAGAATTGGGCGTATGACGAATTGGCGAAGAAATTGGATTTAAAGGGGGAGATAATAATCTACAAATTGGTAAAAGGCAGGTGTAAAATATCGATGGTATGGGTCATGTGCAGCGTTAAAAAGGAAGATGGCATAAGTGTATATCAACAGCGCGATGTGATCGTGATGTGACGACTGTACTTTTAACATCTTCTAAACGTGGGATCATTTAGTTTCAATCCTAAGATTTGTCAAATGAACAACGAAGTAAAACTTGTAATCCAAAAGATGGAGAAAAGCAAAGCTATGGAACCAGACGGCTACCTGTTGAAGTATGATTGAGTGCAGGGACAGAAGGATTAGTAGCCCTGACGCGATTTTTAAACAAAATCATGATGGAAGGCAAGATACCGGCTTATTTGAGAGAGAGTATCATCCTACCCATCTACAGAGATAAAGATGACCACAAGAATGCTTGAATTATAGGTGGATAAAGTTGATAAGCCATACTTTGAAGATTTGGAAAAAATCGTTGTCAGGAGATTACGGGGTGACGTGAAGGTATCGAGAAATTAATTGCTTTATACAAAGCTGTTCTACCATTGGCCAAATTTTCTTCATACAGTGATGAAAAAATATGGGTAGATGATGAAGGAGCTTGCATATGGTAATCATTGACTGGAACCTAGAAATATGATATGGTGATGTATGCGCCAAAGAAACTTCCTGAGGGTTATGTAAAACTCATTAGATGTATGTAAGAGAACTAAAATGACGGTCGGAGACTCAAGGTCGTTTCTTGTAGAAGTCGGGCTACACCAAAGGTCATCGTTGAGTTGCTTTCCCTTCTTACTCATCCTCGATACTATAACCAAGGATTGCAGAGGTCAGCTCCATGGTCAATGTTGTATGCAGATGACATTGTGATATTCGAGGAAACCGAAATAATAGCAGGACAGCGGGCCGGCGATTGGACAATTAGGTTTGCAATATATGACCTACGCATAAATTGTCTAAGACAGTATATCTGGAAACAAACGTTACAGGTCGTTTTCAAGGAACTATGTAGGTTGCTCTACCAAAGTTAAAAAGTTTAGACACCTTGTGTCTAGAAAACATCAAGATAGAGGTTGCTTGACGAGATCATCGCTAGGATACAGAAAGATTGGATGAAATAGAGAAGCATATCAGGTGTGCTTTGTGACAGGACTATTTCACTGTGGCTTAAAGGTAAGGCCTAGAACTATCGTAAAACCGGTCTTGTTGTATGGGTGTGAAATTTTAACATTGCGAGCTGCTGAGAAAAAGAAGTTGGAAATAACTGAAATGCGTATGATTAGAGGGAGTCTAGGTACAACGAGCTGGATCGCATGACCAATGATTGCTAAAGAAAGAAGATGAGCGTAGCTCCCTCATTAGAAAATATAAAGGATAGTAGACTGAGATGGTATGGACATTTGTTAAGGACTGGCTAGGCTAACGTGAATCGGCAAGTTCTCAAGTAAATTATATTATTTCTTATTTCATTTTTATTTGTAAAAATTAGGGCTGTAAACGTTACTTCAAAGAAAAAAGCATTACTTATCACGTTTGAAAAAAGAACGCCTTCCGTTTTATGATAAAGGGAAAGTGTTACTCGCTATTCAAAAAAAAAGTCTGAAAAAGAAAAATAATAATTAAAAAGATAGGAAAAGAATGAAAGTATAAGGAGGTATGGGAGATTATTCGATGGAAGAAATAAAACCTATAAGTTGAACAAATAATCGCGATAGTAAGCCTTTGGCGAAAAAAGAGATTCCTGGCTGTTAAGTCTTTTCGCGAATCAGTCTCCCTATTTCTTTGAGAAAGCCTTGAGCTTTGCTTCCGAAAATGGTAAGAATGAAGCCAGATTTGGGGGTATAAATGAGTAAAAAGAATCGATGGAGCTGTTTATGGTGATTTTTCGGGTATCTGTAAGGGCTATGCTTTTGATCATGATGGGATATGCAATCCATAGGGCAACGATCTCTAGAATTTAAATCAGTTATTGAGGGCACATTTTAAATTTTAAAAGACCAGCAAGTATAGAAGTACTTTCTCTGATGAATTTTAAACAATTTTTATCATGAATTTTCTATATATTTATTTAAAATTTATATGAAAAATCTATAAATTTTTTAAAATCTAAATTATGATTAAAATGTTATGGCAAACTTGTCTAAAATTCACAGTGCCGGGACTCCACATGTGTGAAATATATTTTCGGTCAAATCGGATTTGAATTTAAGCCTCCAGTTTAAAATTAAGAAATTTCGAATTCCTATGGATTCCATATTTTATATCTTAGTGTTCGATAATATATTTTTTGATTACTTGACAACAAACCAAATAAATGTAATAATGTCTTTAAAAAAATTAAAATTATTTTTTTAGAACCTCCTACTGGAAAGAATCCTGGATAATGCTGATGCATAATATGATGATTTAGATTTATTTATTAAAAATTTTCTTTATTTCATCATAAAAAATTTGCAATGCACAACAAATTTCATTCAATATTTCCTATTATGCTTTAATATTTGTAAATTCATGTAAATGAAACTATCGAATACCACTATTGTTAGATGCAATCAGGAGCCTATGCACCAGAGGGGGCAGCAGAGAGGTGCCCCCCCCCCCTGCCATGCTATAAAATATATATGCCGTCTTAATATTTTTCAAAAATATTACTGATTCCTATCTCTTATCGCATATATATTCCAATTTACATTTATTTATCACATTCATAGTTGAAATAAATTCGCTACTAATTTAATCTATCAATTAATATCGATTTCAAATTTTCCTTGGCGTTATATTTATCTATTATTTTAAAATTTTTCACCAAATCATTGAAACTTTTACCTGTAAAATATAGTAAAATATTTCGATATGATTTTTAGACTATGAGAATAGCTGAAAACTAGTATTGTTAAATGACTCGATTTAAGCCGATTTTTCTAAATTAATATTTTATTATAAAAAATATTGTCTAAGGCTAGGGATTTTTCTAATGGATGACCAAACCTTTGTTCCAACTATGAGCACAGGCCCGTAGTCAGCGGAGAGTGGGGTAAAGTTTTGAAAAAATATAAAAGGGCTCAAGCGCATAGCCAACGAGGGTGGGAGAATGGGAGAAATCCCCCTCCCATATTAAGAATTTTTAAAAAATATATAAAAGGGCTACATATATTGTGAATTACCTAGTATTTTTCAAATAGGTTATATTAATATTAGCAATAAAATTAATTTAATATTTATTTTTTGTATATTAATATATTATCTCGCGAAAATTTAAATTTCATTTTCGTACATCTTTTAAGCCTTAAACACTGATGGATATAAGAAAATTTTATCAACCAAAAAACTATTTAAATTATCTCTATTAATAACTAGGATAAAATTTATTGTTTAAATATTCAAATAGACAGAATATGCTAAATATAATTTCTGAGACTTCTTGTGCTACAGAGAAAAAGAAACTGCAAAAAGCCTGCACGACAAGATGGAGCCTTCGACATCAGACATCAAGTTGTTCAGCATTTTTTGGACCTAGAAGAGTCTATTTTGTATGCCCTTGAAAAATATTAAAATCACCTGAAACAGATTACAACTTAAGTGGATACATTATTAGATTTAATATGACCGCCGTTTTTTTATTGGAATATATTAATAAACTAAAAATGGATTTGGCCGAAGTTATGGGAATCGCGTATATTATGTCACAACTTAGAAAATCAAAAGATAATATCGATGAGGAATTTCTCGAGATTTATGTGATTGTTGAGGTGAAAGCGAAATTATATGATTTTGAGATTCATAAGCCTCGAATTTCTCTGATAAGCAAATCGTTCCAATATTAACGTAGACTCAAACGAGAATTCGATTTGTGATTTAACAAATGACTCTATCCAATTTAAAAATACTATATCTTATAAAAATCTGAGGATATAAAATCTTGATATTGAAAAATTAAATATTTAGCTAAATTTTATTCATTGGTTATAAATGTATCTGAAGAATAATTAATTTCAGCATTTAAATGACATGAATGAAAGATTATTTTTATAGATAATCCTTCAAGAAATATAGTGAAAGCATTTCATACTTTAAAATATATTTTATAAGTTTTCCAAATTAATAAAATTATTGTATATTTTGGCAATGATACCAATTAGTATAAGCACAAATGAGAGGACCTTTTTTTCATGAATATCAAAATTAAGACATCTTAAAATTGATTGAGTAGACTAGCTTTATTCATCGAGATCTAATCCCCAACACAGAACAAATTTTTGGCATAATAGCAAAGAAGATTAAATTTTCATTCATGAATGGTGTTTTGATTAATTTTTTAAATCATTATAAAATGTTTAATTTTATATTTTAGTGATTTACATACCTGTTTCTGTTTATATAGCGATAATATTTTTTAACCGTATTATATTCGCTCATAATATTTTGAATTTTACAATATTTATTATTTGTGTTCGAAATTATCATATTTTCAAATATGATTGGTTCTAATAAATTTTATATGATGATTAGTTCTAATATCTAATAAATTATTAATGCTCCAAAAAAAATCATTTCAATACAAAAAATAATTACCCCCCCTCCCCCCCCCCCCCACCCCGAGCACGATTTTAAGGCTAGGTAATATTTTTCTGTATAAAATATTAAATATTAGCCGTTTTTAAAAATTGGCTCAAATCGAACCGTTTAACAACATTACTGAGAATTACTACTTCTGAGTGTTTGCCCTTCTTAATACACGAATCGATACCAATCACGATGAAATCATTGAATTATTAGTTCAATCCCAAAGAAAATTGAATTTCACATTATAAATTTATAAATCATAATTATATTTATTCCCATATTTTAATACACCATATTTATTTTTATGAATAATTTGTAAGTTTATATGCAAGAATTAAGAATATTTTTGTGCATTAATCCATATTTTCACATTTTTTTTAAAATTATAATTTAAATTCATATATGAAATTTTAAATGCTTAAGATTTATTTTTTTAACAAATATTACAAATATATTTAGTATTTTATCATTAATTTATATTTATATATTAGAAATTGTCAATTTTTTATAGTCACAAATCCTAATAAATTTTTGAAACTTAAGATATTCTTAAATAACTCCTAAAATAATCCTAAAAAATATTTTAAATTACCCCCCCCCCCTATAGCGAATTCCTGCATACGCGCCTGGCTACCACTTAAGTGAAATAAGAGGAGTAACTCCTTGAGACTCCCAGGGTTTCTAATTTGGATTTTCCTTTTCAGTTAATTTTAATTCAATAGGAGGATGAAGTGATTAGTCTTTGAAATAACGGGAAAACGAATGTAATACTTTATCGCTAGAAATATTGTTTTTTAATTACAAAATGGAATTGATTTAACAACTCCAGAGTGGCACTCAATGCTTTAAAACATTTTTTCAATATTCATTTACTTTGTACATACTAGTAGGTGGATTACTAAAGCCAATTTTGTTTTATAAGTTATCATATTTTAAACAAATGTTATTTTCTAACCAATTTCGATAACAAGTGTTTTTTTAAGTTGATCCTATATAAGTGATTTAATTAATATGTTTTGATTACGGTTTTGACTAAATAAATATAACTAAAAAAAATTTCTGAATGATTTATTCCTTTGTAAGCTATAAATATAATTAATCATTCATAAAATTTTGGATTAAAATATAGAATTTTCTGGGGAAAAATAAGAATTACAATATTATACAAAACAAAATACAATATAAATGAAACAAGAAAATGTTACCGCAACCTTTTACCTAAAATAGTGAAAAAAATTTGTTCTTATCTTAATTAATTTTTTTTAAAAATATAAACTCATTATATTGAAATAGAGATATTAGACAATATAAGAGAGAGAAAAAAAATTTATTTTTAAGATTTTTTTTTGACATTGAAAATTAAAAAAAAAAACCTTATTTTGTATATTATATATTATACAAACAAATATATAATATTCTTTGTAAAACTCAGATGCCTGCAAAACTGGAATCCGGTCCGGCTTCGAGATTTAAAAATGTTACAAAAAGGATTTTTTTTGCATAAAATTTTGAGCAAGAAATCTTTGAAAATCATAAAAAATTGAAATTTTCTTTTAAAAAAATGAAATTTTTTAGAAAGTTGTGGTTTCAATCATGATATGCATAAAAATCTCAAAAGTTTTTTTAGAAAAAACATCTGGAAATTTAGATAAAATTTGATCAAAAATCTTGTTTGAATGAACATTCTCAAAAAAATCCATGTAGCGTTGCTCAAATTAAAGTTAGGGTTGTGCGAAGCCTTTTGTTCCCCCTTCTGAAGCCAATGGTCATCAGTGAGGTCATTAAAATATCTATTTTAGATATTTTTTACGAACCAGCATCAGCATCTGAAGATGTCGTTTTTAAATTTTTTTTAAAAAAATTATTAATTTTTTGATATGCATTGTTTCTATCCTTAATTTTCACTCAACATGTCCTTGCTTTACAAATGGGATATGTCTGGAACTGGACAGTACCAAAACAATTTTAAAAATATCGAAACAACATTACTAGAAGTTTATCTGCCAAGGACCAAGTACATTAATAGCCGTTTCAAAATGTTTATGGTCAAATTTTATGAAAGTATTTGTTTTTAAAATGTTCTATGGGTATATTACTATATTCCAATTTTTAATCGAATACATTATTTATTGAATATAATATTCGCACATATCAACTCAGATTAATATAAATCTAATATTTTACTCCATTATTCGACTCCTTTAAATATTAATAAACAAATAATAATTCGTATAATTTTTAAAAGATTAAATCCCATTTCCCAATAAAGTTATCCAGGGGCAGGTAATTTCTTCTCAAATAATTTAAAAACTAATAAACTTAATGCTCATGAAAAGTTTTAAATGTAAATTTTGAATTTTAACACGTCAAAAGAAACTTTTTATTTTTTTTTACTAATAATTTTTTTTATAAACGTTACTCAGGCTAAATATCAATTCTATAGATAAAGTAATCTCAAGCAAGGATTATTTTGAATTTAAAAAATCCGATTATATTTATATGAACATTAGAAGCTACGAGTTTTCTTAGGTTCACGATTGGGAATATGAAGATGATCGACTCATTCTTTGCAAATTATATGACAGTTTTAAGTGACAACAAGTTCTTCCAGGTGCTATATATAATATAGATGAACCTGGTAAATTTAACATATTTGACAATTTATTATAATTTATTTACCTAGGATTAACAATTTTATATAATTTTTTTTTTGAAAAATCTAAAAATAAAGAAATGCGATGACACGCACTAATTCTTAAACTTTCATTTTTTTAAATTTTATATTAATAAGATACTAAAAGACTTTTTTTTAAATTTTAATTTCTACTGTATAGATATATAAAGAATTTAACTATGTTTAAACATTTTGGAAAATTTGCTTTGCCTATTTTTTTATATAGTACTTCAATTTTCTACGGACAATATAACCCCGGTCTCTACTACTTACTAGGATAAATATGTATAAATAAAATAACTTAATAATTTATTGCTTTTTAATTTCACTCTTTAAAAAAGTTATGCCTTGATTTAGCAAACCATGGGGTTAGTCAAAATACCTTGTGATGTGAGGCTGCTTAAAACATTGGATTTATAATGGATAAAGATGCCAGTTTTATTTTTTAAGATTGATTTTGAATAATTTTAATATTTTGAAATTATAGCTATATAAAAAAATTTTGCCAAAATATATATAAAAATTAAAACATAATTTTGATAATTTTAAGTACATTTAGTATATTTAAAATAATTGGTTCTACATTTTTTGTAATATCTCGTAAAATTTGATATAAATAATCTACAAAATAATCAGGATAAATTAATTGTAAAAAATATTTCATAATACATTGGTTTAAAGTACCCTAGTTTTGTAAGCGTACTAGCACTGGCTTTACTTATGATTAAAATAATATATAACATCATAAATGTTCGTAAAACTTTCTCAAATTATAAAAGAGGATTAAAACTTTGTAAAAGCTAAATTACATATTAATATTTTTTTTAATAGAGACTTATTGAAACTTATGTAAAGAGAAAAGCATTATGTATTAAGTGTAATAATAAACTTATGACAACTTCCATAGGCTAACTTGTGTAGCTGGTGCCGTCATACTGCAACATTTTCTACCAACTCCACTCTGAGAGTAGGAAAAAATCAACAAATATAACACTTTTAACAACTTTTTGTTCTATCCGGTATTATACCTGTGGAGGATTTCAAGCCCTAAAATAATTCAAACGGATAAGGTAAAAGTTATGTTTACACAGGCGATCAAAAAGGTTATTACTTGTGGCAAAGAATACTATTAAAAATTCTCTGATCCATCCGCATTTCAATCTATTGTTGTCAAATGGCTCAATATGAGTTGATTTTTAAAATGGCTATCTCAATATTTTAACCAGACACATATTGTCCAAGCCTCGAGATTTAGGTAATAGATGTTTGTGCCATCTATGAGCAAAATCTCGAGGCTTGCATAATATTTATCTGAGTAAAATATTGAGTTAACCGTTTTTAAAAATCGGCTAAATCGAACCGTTTAACAGTACTATCTCAATCGATACAATTACATTTTATTTTATAGAATATTACAATTATGTGATATTATAGGTTTTACTATACTCTCTACTGCATTTCTTAAAAAAAATTTCGGAATAAGAAAATATTGAATAAAGTAACATATGTTTCATTTTACTTGAGTTTGCAAAAGATGTGTTATTAATTATTATTTTTATTAGTAAATATAAATTATATAGCATCAGTATATTAACCCACTTATAACGTTTACCCACTTAGAGTTTTATATATTGCAATGTTTTGCGGTTTTAAAAATGTCTGGAAGTTAATTCGGTACTTTTGAAATATCTTATTATTTACTTGTATAAGCGAATTTATTTATAATATATAATTCGTCCAAAAATGTCAGTTCTCTTTTAAAAATTTATTTGATGACATATTAAAGCTATAAACCTAAGTTACATAGGAAAATTAGTTCCGAAATAAAATTATTTATTATATCCTCCTTAGAAAAATTTCAAATTTCAAAAAATTTTTTTAATGGGTTATATTTTACATTTAAAAAAATATTTATTTTATATAATTTAAATATGAATCATTTAAAAAATATTTTTCATAAATTAGCATAAATTTTAAAACAATCGCTTATATTGAGATCACTTTATTGATAATTATTCTTAATATGTATAGAATATATTTTTTTTAAATAAATATATAGTTCTTCAATGACAGGTATATTATCAATTTTTTTGTTTTACACTTTTATTTACACCTTTGAAAAAAAAATAGCTTCACATAAATTTTTGTAAATTAATTTATTTTTTAAAAATAAATCGAATATTATTTTAAAAAAAAATTCTTCTAATATAATCAAATATTTATTATAATAATTAATTTTTTTTATTTCATTCCGCTATTTAGTAGGGTGTTGGAAAAACAATTCAGATTCCCAGAAGATTCATTACCACACAAAACAAATTTATTCAAATGCAACAAATGGCAAAAAAATTCCCCAAATATTACTTGACCTTATTTCTAATAACTAATTGTTATAGGATATACCCAGAGACCACCGTGAACCAATCTGCAAAAAACAAGGAGGATCGTGAGACGCCTATAAATGAGATTAATACTTTCGATTTGACGTCCAGCATAAAATCGAAAGAAGCCCAAGATAATTTGACTTCATCATCTAATTGGGGCATGACTTCTCTATTCCCCAACGCAGTGGGAATTGGAAAAGATATCCGCATATTTCCTTTCAATTTAACTTCAACTCCATGGCTGCTTAACACGATTTTATCATCTCCTCTAAAATCGACCAAGTCATTGTCTGGTCCGGAGAACTTTGAATCGAACACGATTCTTAAGGATAAGAAAGCGTTGCGATTTCAAAATGATCACAAAATATCAAATCCGAATAAAAGTGAGTCTAATAATATATATTTTATTATGAAATATTTTACCTTTATCGATTTTAAATATAGATTTTTATTATTGGTCTTCACTTCACTTTGTGTTCCAGAAATTAGAATGTTAATTTTTGAAGGTTATAATACAATATTCTTCTTTTTATTATTTAAAATGAAAATATTTAAAAAAAAACATTTATATTTAAGATATTACTGAATTAAAATTCATAAAAAAATATATATTGTCAGATTATTTACATTATAGAGATTACCCCCCACCCCATATAATTAACTCGTTGACATATATTTATTTTCTATAAAAAGAAGTATTTTATTTTATATTTCTAGGAATTTTATATTTCTACTTTGTATTTACGAGACAATGACAATTGACAACTACTTTGTAATTATGATAAAAACACGGAAAGTTGAATAATTAATAATATTAATCTTATATTAAATAAAAAGAATTTGATAATTCGCTTAAATATGATGTCAAGAAATATTTTAGATTCATTTTATATCAATTTTTTTGAAAAATATTTATTTTATTCAAAAAATCATCACAAAAAGATAATATGGATTAATTAAAATTTTTTTTGATAAAATGATTGAATGGGTGTTTAGAAATTTTTTTCCAGTCCATAATTTGTGTATAAGCTTTAAAAAAATGTTAGGATTTCCAGCCCACCCCGTGAATGTATTTTGCGCAGGTTGTCGAATCCACCCTGACCTTTACATTGAAGTTCAAATGCAAATGACTTTATTTAATTAAAAAAATTTCTATCATAGATGTGAAATTCGAATCGAACAAAATCAAAAGGGAATTAGTATTATAATTTTTTTATAGGTCTAAAATTGAAAGTAATAAATATTTTGTAAGAATGGGAGTTTAAAAATAAAATCAAAAATTTTTGATCAAATTTTGTCTAAAAATTCCAAATATTTTTTTTGTAAAAAAAATCCTTTATAATATAAGTAAATGTTTTGCAATTTTTTATACATAAAATAATTTTTTTTAAAAAAAATATTATTTCATCTGGTTAAAATTAATTAAATTTTTAAACAAAGATCTGAGAAAATGGCAGGTGGGGCTGAAAAGATCAATTTAAAACCCTGACCAGGCCTAAATATTTTTAAAAATGAATAAATTATATCAATAACTTTGAAAAATCATATATAATGGCATTTATAATATTCATTCTATTCTTATTTTCAATTTTTCTATAAATTTTTTTTTAAACCTAATATAGTCCAGTTAATTTAAAATGACAAAATTAAAACTGAATCAGAATTTAGGCTTAAAATTTTAACATGTAGGTCTCTGGAATCAAGTCTAAAAATGTTTTAAATGTTACTATATTTTTTTATTATTTCCTCTTCTTACGTGTCTTATAACATAACCTTAAATGATAATTTTTTATCTTAAAATTAAATTGTCTCATTTTTTTTATACAATTATAATAAATAATGAGAAATAAAAAGGTTAAATTTAGACGCAAGGTAAATTATTTACTTTTTTAAAAAAAAAATTTATATTTTTCCGCGAAAATTAGAAAATTACAAATTAATTTTTAATATAATATTTTTAAATTTTCATAATTTTTTTTTTTCAAGTTTAAAAAAAAAAAACTTGTCCATTAAAGGTAAAACATTACGTAAATAATGAAACAATGAAATTATATTTTTCAAGATCAAATTTTTGAAGCATTATTCATTATTAACATACAAAATTTAAATTAATAATAAATAAGAAAAATAACATTAAATTTAAAATTATAGATTTATATTTGATACGTGATATTAAGCACCTAGTCCTCTTTGTTGTATTTACAACAAGGTAACGCTTGGTTCTCTCAAAATAACTCATTAAACTGGGAAAACAAAAACTAAGGGAAATAATTAGTTCTCAAGAGGTAAAGCTACTTACTTAAACGCCCATAGAAAATAAGAATATAACCATGCCCGATTAAATAAAATGTCGAACTAAGTGGAGGGGGTGGGTTGGCTAGGTTAAAAGTTCACTTTTATTTAGCAAGAGGTAACTAAAAAAAAATTTAATAATAAAATTAATATTTGGAAATTTCATTTTTTAGTTTCCCGCTTGAGGCCAAAAATTTTCGAACAATGTGGAAATATGAACCTTATAAAATAAGGCTCAAATATATATTATTAGGCCCTAATTAGCGGGCAGTGGCGAACACAATCTAAACTGGAATATTTTTTTTAAAAAAATGCCTTTAATTAAAATTAAGTAAAAATGGTATGCATGAATTCTAAACGCTTTTAAATTTCACTAAAATCACTCTCCCTGATTTGACGTAATAGAGTCAGGTTAGTTTTTTGGAGGGAGGGGGGAAAAGAAGTGAATTTATATAATATTATGGTAACGAAGGTATAATTTATATTTTAGGTGTAATATGAATTCTAAAATCAAGCTAAAATGAAAATTTGTTAACTTGAAAATATTTTTTTTGTTTATTATTTGGCACATTTTGCAGATAGCTGGAATTTCGGAGAAGAGTTGTTTGGCAGGAGCCAAATTTTAATGGACAGAGAAATTGAGTATAGTGATTACGATGGATGGGTCAATAATTTAGCAACACCTTCGCTTGGATCTTCAGGTTAAAAAGAGTCTTGAAGGAATATTTGGTTTTATTATATCTCAAAATTTTTGAAAAATATTTTTATGTTATGAAGTTAGGATTAAAAAAAGCAAATTTTTAACAAAGAAAGAAAGGAAGGAAGGGAAGAAGGAATAAATAAAGAAAGGAATAAGAAAGAAAAAAAGTAAAAAATTAGAGATTTTATATAATAATCAAAAATTATCGTATTATATTAATTTCAGAAATATTTTATATCAACAAAAATAAACAACACATCAAAAAGGTTCCGATTTGCTGAGACTAAGTCCTGCCTATTATTCGGGAGACGACGGCGTATATAAAATCCCACATTTTATCAAGAATCAGAACTTATATGAAATAAGTTCGAAAATATTCTCTGGTCCCTCTGGTCTAATTTCGAAAACCAACAAAACTGTCTTTTTCGTATCCTTCAGTTTATATTAAAATCTTACCATATAATATTATTTAAAATTTTATTTTTCACAAAAACTTTGTGTAGAATTAATATATTTGTATTATAAGATATTATTTTGGAGTCTCCATCATTCCTATAAAAATATTTGATATCGGCGTATAATCGTAAAGTATAATCAAATATTTATGTCAATGCGCTAGGGTTCAATGTTTTTTTTTAAAAATACTCTTTGAATTTAAAATAAGAGTTATTGGTATATAATTATTCCGTCATATCCTTTAGTTGAAATTTTGATTCCTCCCCGATTTAAGCTGCCCACGTTATTAACGAAATTATGAATGCCCGGGAACCTGCTTGCCCTAGAGAAATGATCAAAGTTAAGATGCCCAATTCTGCGTCCCTTTATGCTTGCTTGAATAATAGTATGAATAATAGGGATGAATTTTATACGATATATAAAAGAGCCGCATACAATCCCTTAACTGGCAAATCACCAAATTCGCCTAGAATACAAGTCGAAAATACTTATTCTTTTGGAATAACTTTATATTGTATTATAATATTGGAAAATCAGATTGTATATTTTTTTTAAAAAACGATTTTATATAAGTAGTTATTTACATTTCATTACAGTGATTGAAAATATTGAGTGCTATATGCTTCTCCATAATGACCCCACTATTTTTATATAAAAGAACGTCGACCGATTTTGTCCTTTCTATCTAGTGTTGTTAAACGGCTCGTTTTGAGCCGATTTTTAAAAACGGCTAACTCACTATTTCATCCAGAATAATTTAACTCAAGCCTGAAGATTTTGTTTGTAGAAGGAACAAAGGTTTGGACATCTATTAGCGAAATCTCAAGGCTTAGGCTATATTTTTTAGGCTAAAATATTGAGTTAGCCGTTTTTAAAAATCGGCTCAAAATGAGCCGTTTAACAACACTATTTCTATCTCATTAATTCTTATTTTTTTAAAAAATATTATTGATAAATCGTGATATTTTTTTATGGAAATATTTTAAATTTATATAGATAAACAAAGTAACATCGTTTTTGGATGGTAGCTCAATTTATGGCGGAAGTAGGGCTTGGAGTCAATTTGTAAGGTCTTTCGAAAATGGTCAGCTTAAAATAGCACCGATTAAAAAAATTAGAGCCTCCATTGAAGATTACGAAGACCCGATATCGATAGGTATGCAATACCCTCAATTCAATATAGAAGGGCTTCCGATGAAAAATATTCCACCACCTTATACTAAATCTCCTATGTCATACCAACGGTTGTTGAGTAAATTCGAATATTTTTCGTTCTATGAAACTTAATATTATTTTGCAACGCATTCTACTGAATAGAAGAAAACTAGCTATAATCATATGTGGTCATTAATTACATTTGTTTAGGTATTATAACTAAATTAGTTTTTTTTGACTAAATATCTTTAAAAAAAAATTGAATTTAAATATTTTAAGATGTACACATTTTGACTAAAGATAAGCTTGCATTTGTTAAATATAATTTAAGAAGTTTTATTAAGAACCTCTATTAAAAATTAATAATTACTAAAAAATTATAAAAAAAATATATATATAGAAAACAATGAATTATCTAAGATTTTTTAGAACTTTACACGAAAGGAAAGTTAAGAAATGTACCTTTATTAATTTATATTTACTATTTTTATACATTTTGGTAAATGTGACCAGTCTTTGGGGATGATCGCAATAATGAATCACCTTTATTACTGACAATGGGAACGATTTGGTTCCGTTGGCACAATTATCTCGCGAACTTGATATCGATTCAACATCCCGAATGGTTGGAAGAAAAGATTTTTAACGAGGCTAGAAAATGGGTGGTAGCGATCTATCAAGTTTTTCTATTCCTTTATTTCTCATATCCTTCATTGATTCACTGTACTCAAATCAAATTAAAATAATTTTTATAATCTTTAATACAACCCCCTTCCCCTCCCCCCCCCACTCTTGAGTTTTTTTTAAGGATGTAATATATTTTTTGTTCTTCTTAATTAAATAGAAATAAATTTTTATGCTTGGATAGAATTTGTAAATTTCGGCTTGCCCAATGTTTAAAAAAATAATTTTAAAACCTATATCATTTTCAGATCGTGTCTTAAATTGGACCTGACATATAAAAATTTTGCAAATTACGATTTCTAATAATATTGTTTGTTCGCTAATTTATTTTTCGCATCGAATGGTAAAGAAAATCGTATTTCAAGATTGGCTACCAGAATTACTAGGCATAGATAAAGAAAGTATTCCAAAATATTCAGGTAAACATCTCAAATTTTATAAACTGTTTATAATAAATATCATTTTAATTCTAATACTACATATTTTCAGGGTATAAATCTCACATAAACCCATCTATAAGCATAGAGTTTGAAGCCTTGGCATCTCAGTATTATGTAACAATGATTCCCTCTACCTTATATATAGGGTAAACATATTTTGAAATTTATTAATCAATTTTCATGATAAATTTTTTTAAAAGAAATTCTTCAAATTGTCTTCCAAAAGATAAAAATAGTGAAAATGGTGGAGCGTTAAGGCTATGTAATTCATTTTGGTCTCCAGAAAAATTCTTGAAACATTCCTTGGAAGAAATTATTAACGGAATGATAACACAATTAGCCGAACAAGAGGATAATATCATCGTACCTGATATGAAAGGCATGATATATATATGTTATATATAATAATATAATATATACTCTACTTTTATATCAATCGCAACTCTGTTCTTTTAATAAATATTTACTTTTGAGCACTTTTGTTATTTAAACAAATTTTTTGCTCATAGAAAAAGTTTTAATAAGAAAGAAAACTTTTGGATTAAAAAATGAAATTACTAGGATCTAAAACACGATTCAATTCTTAAGTGTATCGCATTTATTAAACCAAAAAGTATTTATATAGTTTTTTTTAAAAAATTAGAGTTTTACTATGGAAAATTAAATGGGCTCACCAGGAGTAATTACATTGTTGACAATATCGTCCATTCGATAGATGTAGGAATTCCAAATTATAACGAAGTTAGAGCTGCTCTTGGTTTTAAAAGAATCAAAAGTTTTAAAGATTACAAGAGAAATAATCCAACTTCATTCCAAGAAAACAGGGTAATTTTTTTTTTACTTTGTACATATAATATTATAAATTTACAAAATAATATATTGTTTAAATTGACAGAATTTGTAAGTTACCACATTCTTATATGGATGCCAGAAAAAAAAATCTCCAAGATGGTGTAAAAATTTTTTTTAAAAAAATATCATTTCATCTCTGTTAATGTCTGATGTGTATATATTACTAGATTGGCGATTCAATGATTAAACATAAAAGCTGCTATAGCGCCATTTTGTAAACGTCGAATAATTGTATTATCGATCATTACATCTAATCGAAATGCAAACTACAAAATGGCGTTATAGCTGACGCCTATGGTATACTTTTAAATGCATGAATCGCCAGTCTAGTAGTATATGCACATCATTGGTTGAGGTATAAATAAATAAATATATTATAAATTTTAAAACAACCATTTATTTTTATTTCATTTATTTTAAATATAAAACCTTCATAATTTTTGAAATCAATAACTGCTTTTATAGATTATAGTAAGAAAATTTATTAGATCGTTTATTAATACTATTTTTACCTTTTTGAGTTTGATTTTATATTTCTGATTAAGAAGTTTACGAAGAACAAAGCAATTAGTATTTTTATTTTCCTCTGAATTTCCTATTGCTATTCAGATCAATTAAAAAAGTATTATTTAAAATTCAATTTTTTTTTAATTTTTATTATTTTTGATTAGTATTGTTGTTTTCATATTGTTCTGTTGATTCTTAATATAAATGTTTCGTAAATTATATCAATTTGACTTTGATATTTATAGAATAATCATTTTAGGTGAAATAATCTAATATCCTTAAGATAAAAATCAAAATAAAGTTGGAAAAATAATACCCACAAGTTAAATAATCTGAATTCAACCCGTCAACAAATATAACATTATTCTGAAAAATTAATTAAATTTGGTTTATAAAATTTAAAAAATCCCTAATTTATTTTTAAAAAAAATATTTTAAAAAATTACTTTATTTTTTTAAAAATTACTTTATTTTTTTAAAAATTACTTTATTTTTTTAAAAATTACTTTATTTTTTTAAAAATCGCTTACTTATTTTTTTAAAAATCGCTTACTTATTTTAAAATATTCTAGTTTTCAAGAAATATTTTATATCTAATTTTTTACAAGGGGTGCAAGTGAACTCTTTTCCCACGCATTCTTATTTTGATAACTTCTTAGTGTTTTTGGGTTTTTTTATAACGAGTTATTTTTATCATTACCTTACATAACGTCAATGGTAGAGGGCACTTGCCAGCTCATCATACCTTATGCGTTTTCTGAGAATCTATAAAATCAAAGAAATTGGCTTTTTAACCCTTCAAAATGATAAGGATGCCACTGTTTTTTAGAAGAAAGTAAATCGTTACTTGTAATTGAATTGAATAAAGAATTATTAACTTATTTGAATTTTATATAAGTAATATATTTTAATATTTTTGTCCTTTTAAAGCATTACAATGATTTGCTAAACCTTTATGATTCTGACATTAATAATATGGATGCTTGGACAGGTGGGATGTTAGAAACTAAAAATGGCAAGCCAGGAGAATTATTTTCCCTAATCATATTCAACGAATTTATTAGACTCAGGGATGGTGACAGATTTTGGTTCGAAAACTATAACCAAAACGGGTAAATATTTTTTATATATTTACCAATTACCGTAACGTTTCATTACTGATACCACTAACTAAAATCGTAAAGTTATACTATTTGATATTTTTTTAACATGAAAAATATATGCAAAACTATTTATAATTAATCTTGTTGTAGCTTAATTAATTTTATTATTTTCCAAAAGATGGCGCATATGTGAACCAAAATTGAAGAATTATTAGAAAATCGAAAAATATTTTATTTACTATATAAAATTTTCCAGGGCTATGTTTGGATATAAAAATTTGGGCCAGCTGAGCAAGAGCCCCCAAAAATAAATAATTTGCAAAGTTCCAAACGAGTTCCTATTTTAATTAGTGTTGTTAAACGGCTTGAATCCTATCTCATTGGCACCAATATAACGATCGGCTTATTAGAAGACAACACAACTTGGAGTCAAGGGCAAATACCTTGTCCGATTGATGAATGTAACAATTAAAGGATTGCTTAATATTTTAGCTATAAAATATTACGCAAGCCTAGAGATTTTGCTCATATTTGACAGGAAGGTTTGGACATTTATAAACTAAATCTCGAGGCTTGCGTAATATTTTTGAAAAAATATTAGATTATAACTTTATGAAAATCGAGCCGATTAACACCTAAAAATTAAAAAAAATGAAGAAAGTAACATGATTTCTTATTTTGGTCAATCGACATCTTAAATTAATTATATTTTAGCATTTATTTTTGTTATTTTATCCTATGCATGGTTAGAATACATTTCAGAAGGCCTATCATTTATTTACAAATTGGCTTGGCCAAGTCCATATTTTTTATTTAGTGAGCCTCTTCCTAAAATTAAAAACTTTAAATCAGACTCGACTCGCATTTACACGTGATTTTCAACTTTTTTAACAATATTAAAACTTAATCATTTTATCATATTCTAGTTTGTTTACAGAGAGTGAGGTTGATTTGATTAAGAACACAAGCTTAAAGTATATTGTTAGAAGTATTACCGACATTTCTGGAAAAAGATTGCAAGAAAACCTATTTGTTTTAACTGATGGTAAGAAAATACTTTAAATTTATTACGGTAGATGCTTATGTATTATATGTATGTCATATTGGGATATGGAATTCTTTGGGATTTAGAATATCTCAATGAGGGCAATTTTTATATGTATTTCAACATGTATAGAGTATACCCACATTGTGAATTTCTGAGAGTTTTTAAAACTGTTGAAATACTTTTAATTTATATCCGTTTTAGTGGCAAAAATTGTTTGAAGTTTACATGGTAGATATTATACATATGTTGGAATACATTTCCAATGTAAATATCATCCTAAGTAAATGGAATCAAATTGAAAGATTCTAAATCTCTATGGATTTCATATCCCAATACGATATATATCAAAATATATTACTTCAAAATATTTATAAGGTGATCCATGTCCGCCATTTCCAAAATTTGACTATAGTGAGCCATGCTTTCCGATGATGATAGTGGATTATTTTGAAGGGAGTGAAACAACATTCATATTATCTTTTCTCATGATAGTCATTTTTATCATAAGTATAATAAGAACTATACTTATATTAGTTATACATTGAAAAAATAATTTCAATTTTTTTTACGATTATACAGGGTGGCGAAACTATAACTCTTTTAAAGAGGATTAATAATCAGTTTTGAATGATGGTCACTAATTATTTTTAGATATTTTTGGATATTGCTATTTAATGATGTGAGCTACCCTAGTTAGCCTGCAATAGAGTTCTTAGCCATAAAATTTATTCTTCCTCCGCATAGATATAATATGACTGGAGATAATCTTGAAAATATTTTAATTGTATGCTGAATATTACTTTTTAGAGAATAGTTATGAATTTTTTTTAAAAAAAATGTGCTTTTCTTTTCTAATAGGTTTGCATGTGAAAATGTTTAAACCAGTTTTTAAATGTAAAACCGATCCGATATTTTTATTTTGTATGAATCGAACCTGAAAATAAACAGTTATTTTTTATTGAACTTAAACCAACCGAAATTCGTTATGTTTTGATCCCCGATTAATATAACCCCATAGTGTGGTAAATTAGTTGGTTTTACACGACCACGACCCTGGTTTTTGGTCGAAAAAATGAACCAAAACCAAAGCAACCAATTTGGTCGACCTGGTCGACCAAATTCATCCACCCGAGCACAGCATCGACCCGATTTATATAAATAAAAACATGATATTATTTAATATTTTTATTTATTTAATATTGAAATGAAATGTTAATTATTTTTTATTATATAATGAAAATGGTTTGATGTTTTTTAATAAAAAAATGTAATTATAATATCATTTTAACAATAAATTTATGATTTTCACGCCCAAAATTTTAAGCAATTGTTAATTTGATAAGAATTATAAATTTTGTAAATAAATCTTTTTTTAGAAATTCTTTTGTGAATTTTAATATAAATTTTATAGTTTTTTTTTTATCATTTTTCTGAAATTATTTTTTTAGTATATTAAAAGAAGTTGTAATTTCTAAGCATGCTTAAATAAAATCTCAGGGAAGATGTACCCTTTAGATAAGTGACAATTGTCATAATCGTTATTTTTAAAGTTTTTTGAATATTTTTTGTCGCAAATTGGAAATAATTAATATTGAAAACAAATTTAAATAAAACTTCAGTCAATATGTACCCTGGATAAGTGACAATTGTAATATTCGTTAATTTTAAAGTTTTTTGAGAGTACCAACCAGATAGACCCGAACACCAACTTATATTATTTTATTGTGACTGAATGTGAATATTTTGCCTAATTGTATTTTGCATAGAGAACGAATATTTCAATATTAGCATAGAAATATTCATATTTATTATTAGATTTCTTTTTCAAAAATTGTTCCTTTCATTGATCCACCAGAGCACCTACTCCAAACCATATTATATTATTGTTAGTGAATATTTTGCTTTATCATATTTTTATGCATAGAGAACGAAATATTAACAGAAAAATAATCATATTTATTTAATATTATATACCTTTTTTAAAAAAATTGTTCTCTTCTTATAATTTATAAATTAAAAATTAGAGACTGAGTAATTCAATTCCTTATTAATTATTGATATCGAATTAGAAATAATTATCTTCTAAGACCGGGAAAAATTTATTATATGAATTTATCGATTTATAGATATTTATAATTCATATATCATCAAATGAGGGTATTATATCTTTTTTAATAATTTTTGGGATCTCTAAAATTATAAAAATTGGCTAAGACTTAAACCGATTAGATGAGTTGGTTCAGTAGTTGACAGTTAAACAACGATATCTTTTGAGTTTTGATATTCATTTTTATTTATAGATAGGGATCATTAAATTACAAAGAAAGAAAATATAGACTAATAGGCTGACATCTGATAAATTAAAAATTTATCATTTTTCTAAAAAGAAATCTTTTAAAATTAATTTAATAAATATTTATTTCAAATTGTATAATATATTTGTTTATTAAAATTAATGTTATTAATTATTATATAATAAGCGACGTCATTTTCCTTAAATATTAACCATAAAGATATGTGAAGAAAATAATTACTAGTGCTGTGAAGTAACGTCAAAAAAATAACGACGCTATTTTTTTAAGAAAAAAACGCCATTCGTTACCTTCATCTAAAGGTAACTAGTAACGGTAACGCAAAACGTTACTTTACTCGTTACTTTATATTTTTTCTTAAAAAATTTCAATAAAAAAAAACATATTTTATTGTATTATAAAATTACTTTTATTTATTTTTTAATTCTTAATATTTAAGCCGAGTTTTAATTTTTTTAATTTATATCAACCACTTCCAACATTTTTTTTTAAATTTTCGTTGTTAAATCATCAGTCGAAATTAATATTCAATCAAAATTCAAAGTAAATATAATGATATTATTAATTAATTTATAAGTTATTTTTAAAGAATATTATGTCCATAGTCCTTACTTCTTCAGATGAAGAAGATTTAACCCTTCCCTGGCCCCAATTTGAATTATATTTTAAACCAATTAAGAAAATTAATGGCACCAAGTCTACACTTTGTAAATGTAAATTACGTCCCAACGCAAATATTTCGACGTCAATGTCAAGTAGCTCAAACTTAAAAAAACATTTGAAGATAAAGAATGAATTAATATATAATTATTTTAAACATATAAAAACTTAATAATCATTAAATGATTTTAAAAAAATTTATTTAAATTTCATTATAGATTTTATTATTAAAATACTATATATATAGCATCTTATTATTTAACCATGTATTCGATAGCTACGGCTCTTTCCATTTTAGAGAGCGAAGAAAATATACATTTGGGATATCTCATTCCCACTATAATCATAATATCAAAACTTAAAAAATTGGCTTTAAATAATTTTAAGTTTTGTAAGCCGCTTATTGATTCAATCCTGGAAGCCATAGATAAAAGGTATACAGTTCAAATATTGCTTATAATTTATATTTTGACTATCATTTTTCAATAGATTCAAACACATATGATGATGAATATATACTATCGGCAATAATTCACCCACTATTTAAATTGGATTGGCCTTGGATAAAATTAGAGGTCAATAAAGGAAGAATGCTGGAACTTATTTCCAGTTTGAGAAAAGATATTGATAAAGAAAGAACAAGCTTGATTCCTTTATCCAACACACACACTAGAATATTTTCAGATGAAGATAAATTTTTTTTGATGAGAAAATGAATGAAGATCTCTGTGAATTATCTTTCAAGCTTTTTTTCAAAATAAAGATATTTCCGTAAATATTTTTAATAAATTCCCTGAATTGAAATTTTTGTTTATTAAATATAACATCACTCTCCCATCCTCTGCGCCAATTGAACGTGTGTTTACCACGGCGAAAGCTGTGTTGAGTACTAAGCGCTCATGTTTATCTGATCAAAATTTTGAAAATCAATTGTTGTTAAAAATAAATAAAAAATTGTTACATAAAGATGTTATCTTATGATATATTATGTTTGTAAAATTTTATTCATATTATAATTATATATGAAATTTTATTATAAAAAGATCTTATCTTATGTTCTTTTTGTATAGTTTTATTTTATTATACATTGTCGGAAATTTGCATTATATATAACATTTCATTTTTTTAAGTAACGAGTAGCCCGTTACTTTTTTGAAAAGTCGGTAAAGCGTGTTCCTTTTGTAAAATGGTAACGAGTAGCGGTAACGCGTTTCTTTTTTGTAGACGTTTACAGCACTAATAATTACTTAGTATTATTTATAAAAATTCAAAAAAAAATAAAATTCATAAATATTTCTTAAATAAAAAGTTTTTAGTGGCTTAAATCACCCCCCCCCCTCTCTCACCCCCATTAATTTCCAAATAATTATAATAAAGTCATTAATCTTTACATTACTAACGTTTTGAAAAAATTTTTTTTATTTTCTATATAAATAAATAACTAAAAAATAATAATTAATAAATCTAATAAATCTAACTATTTTTCCCTAAAATAATTTTTTAAAATACCCCCCCCCCCTTCCCTTCAAACTGAACCCAAAAATAAAAATCGTTTGTTTTTATATAAAAATAATATAGATGTTATTTTAATAATAAAGATTCATGTTGTAATATTATATAAAATGTAAGAAAAAAAAAATTACTTACTTATCTTATATCTTAAAATGGAATATTTTAGAAATTAAGTAAATATAAAGGCAGACGATAAATATAATTTTTGAAAGACATATCCTTTTTTTAGAACTTAGTAAAAATTTTTGAATCGATGGATATTAATAAAAAGTAGTGTTGTTAAAGTTACTTATGAAACATAACTAGTTACAGTCACTAGTTACATTGATAAAAATATAACTAGTTACAATTTTATAAATGTAACTAGTTACAGTTACATTATGAGTTACTTTCTGGTTCTTATAAATTTTTAAATGGTCTATTTAATGTTAATTCAAATAGAACTGTATAATATTGGAGTTTTTTTGTCAAGAAAATTGTGATAATAAGAATATTAGGGGAAGGGTATTAGATAACTTATTTTTTATTTAATTATATATGCATGCATCCTATTGTATAATTTAAAAAACATTTTATATCATAGAATTTATCATTTTTTTGGAAGGCAAAAATATCCTGAACAAGAGGAATATGACTTCCCCACTGAGCCCATTGCAATTTAAGAAACGCTCAATATTATAACTGAAATTTTTTTTTTATAAATAGAAAATAGGTATCCAATAAAGTATAAACCTCACAAAAGTTTTGAAGATGGTTAAGTAACTATACTCTAGCTAAGGGAGCTCTGCAAATTCAATTTTTTTGGCCTGAGCCCATTGCAATTTATTAAAACGCGATCTCAGTTATACCTATTTGCAGGCACTACTTACAACCTCCTTTACCTTAAAGTCTGAAAATATTTTAATTTATTTTAAATAAGCTGTTTCAACCAAGCAAATTAACAACAGTAAATATATGATTATTTTTCTGTTAATATTTCATTCTCTATGCATAAAAATATGATTGGGCAAAATATTCACTAACAATAATATAATATGGTTTGGAGTAGGTGCTCTGATCCATGTTCGGATCAATAAAAGGAAAAATTTTTGAAAAAGAATTCTAACATTAAATATGAATATTTTTATGCTAATATTGAAATATTCGTCCTCTATGCAAAATACAATTAGGCAAAATATTCACATTCAATCACAATAAAATAATATAAGTTGGTGCTTGGGTCTATTATACGGTCGGTACTCTCAAAAAACTTTAAAATTAACGATTATGACAATTGTCACTTATCCAGGGTACATATTGATTGAGGTTTTATTTAAATTTGTTTCCAATATTAATTATTTCCAATTTGCGACAAAAAAAATTCAAAAAACTTTAAAAATAACGATTATGACAATTTTCACTTATCTAGAGGGTACATCTTCCCTGAAATTTTATTTAAGCATGCTTAGAAATTACAACTTCTTTTAATATACTTAAAAAATAATTTCAGAAAAATGATAAAAAAAAACTATAAAATTTATATTAAAATTCACAAAATAATTTCTCAAAAAAGATTTATTTACAAAATTTAAAATTCTTATCAAATTAACAATTGCTTAAAATTTTGGGCGTGAAAATCACAAATTTATTGTTAAAATTAAAATGATATTATAATTTCTTTTTTTTTATTAAAAAACATCAAATCAAACCATTTTCATAATATAATAATAAATAATTAACCATTTCATTTCAATATTAAATAAATAAAAATATTAAATAATATCATGTTTTTATTTATATAAAATAAATCGGGTCGATGCTGTGCTCGGGTCTGTGCTTGGGTCGGTGCTCGGGTCGATGGATTTGGTCGACCAGGTCGACCAATTTGGTTGCTTTATTTTTGGTTCATTTTTTCGACCAAAACCCAACCAAAATTATGCTAATTTGACCCAACCAAGCAATTTTACCACAAAACCCCATATATAAAATGGTGATACTTTTTAATATTTTAAATTTTGTCAATCATTTAAAATTAAAAATAATTTCAAAAAACGTTAAGAACCGGGTTAAATGTTATTGTAATGATTCGAATTTCTTTTTGTTAATGTTTCGGGTTTCTTTTTAATGTTTCGGGTTTCTTTTTGTTAATGTTTCGGGTTTCTTTTTGTTAACGTTTCGGTTTTTTTTGTTAATGTTTCTGTTACGGCTAGGATAATTTTAAACGTTAATTTCATTTTCGCATTGCGGTTCGATACCTTGATATTATATAAATTTTTAATGATATATCTATTTATAAATTAAGCGTGTTACATTGAAATTTGTTTTTTATAGGTGTTATGACAATTATGTTAATATGGGCCAAAAGTAAACAACAGGTGACACTTAAACTCATGGAATGTAGGCCAAATTTTAAATGCAAGGATGCTAATATAACAGGCATAAAATTTTCCACATGTATAATTTAACACTTTATTAAATTTAACATTTGGTTTAAATATATTTTTGTCCAATTTATGACAAATAATTATTTATAATTATTTAAGAAAACTCTTATTTTTAATTAACACATTTTAAGCCGAGGAATGGATGAAAAATGATCATTTTCATCCCGTCGTTATATGCTTTAACCCTGAAAAGTTGACCATGAATATATATAGCGAAAGGAAGGAACCATATTCAAGAGTCATAAAATTTCAACGATTAACTTACATAGAAATTATGTTACCTAAAGAACAAACCAAGAGACACCGTCTGTTTTTACTCAAAATACCAAATGAATACGACCACGTATTTTATTTTCATAAATGTTTCTAATTTCTTGTTATTTTCTACATCTTACAGATATTTCTGTTTAAAGAAGAAGCCTCTTACTTAAATTTCAAGTACGAAATTGAACAATTTATTAAATCCGCCAATGTTAAAGTCAATTTTCGTGAGGTAAACAAGTACAAAGATATATTCGCTAACGCCTTCACTAAGAGAGACCGAGAAAAGCAATTGGATTTGTTTTTTAAAACAGCCTTTTCATTGGTAAATTAATACACCATTTAAAAATCACAAAAAAATATTTATATAACTATAAAAATTTAACTATTAAACACTAAATGAAATGTATACAAGGCATTCGCAGAAAATTTTAACAATTTTAAAGTCTCAGACAATGGTTACAGTATAGCAAATGATGATCTAAAATACGACAATACGACCACAATGGACTCTAACATTGGATTTAATTATATTTATCAAAAAACCTACTTTCATGTTTGGACTTTTGCATTAAATTCGTTCTATAAACTTTTGAGTCGTTTTAAATCAAAACCTATAAACCAATACGTGGCCGATAATATGCTAGTCGGATTTAAAAACGATGACGAAATTAATGCCGTGATCGATAAAAATGGTTTTAATGGTACTACCTTTAAAATGATAGATTTAGACAAAACGGGAATTACTGTTAATAATAATTCCAATAAAAGCCTAAAATTATGGCATCTAAACAACAATATAATGAAGCTCACCAATTGCGAATTAACACGATCAGAATTCTCGGAAGCTCTATCACTGAAAGAGGACTCTATTTTCGTAGAAAATATGTTTGCTTTGGTAGACAAAGATAAGAACGGTAGAATATCTTTCAAGGAATTCCTCGATTTTACAATTATATTTTTCAAAGGTTTATTTTGTTTTTTTTTTAAAAAAAAATTATATGATTTTTTTTTAAAAAAATATTAAAAATATAGGAAGTGCTGACGATAAAGCCAGAGTAATATTTGACATGTACGATTCGGAAAAACAGGGTTTTATTTCCAAAGCCGATTTCATAGCTATGCTCGAGTTAAGAATAATAAACATTATCATCCTTTTTTAAAAATTTGATATTAACCCCTCATCCTCATTTGTTTGATTCATTATCATATTAATTTGATTCTTTTTAAAGATTCGATGGAAAGATAATTTTCTAAATTTAAAATGTGCTCTAACAATAGACAATTTTCTTTTTTTAGTGCGATATACTTGCATATGCCTTTTTTTTCAAATTATAATTAATTTCCAAATAATATAACTCTTAAACAAATTAATGAAAATATGGTAACGATTTACTTACCAACGCGTAATTATTTTTTCGAGAATATCAACATTCGCAACGCATTTCACGGAATTTATGCTGTACCAATTTTTTTTATGATGAACCTAATAATCAATATATTTATATATTATTATTTTTTAAACACAACAAAGATCTTTCGTTGAGGTATCGGGTATTAAATTGAATGGTCCAGAATTAACCAGGGGTTTAGAAACTATGCTGGACTCAGCCAACTTTAACGGGAAACAGATATTATCATTCCAAGATTTTTTAATATTATTGGGAGATCATAAGCACAACTTTGACGAATTACATATTAACTGGGAAGGTCATTATTTAAAAAAACAAATCAGTTTTATATTTTATGAATGACAGGTATAAAAGTTTGCATCCCCAAGAAAAAGTGGAAAAAGAGAGAGTATGGAGAAAATTTCCCACTTAGATCAAGAAGAACTATAATAAAGGGATATAAGTTTAATACTTTTGTTGAACTCTTATAAATATGAATTATTTTTATCCTAGAAAATCGAGCACTAACAATGACAATCATATTCAAAAAGGTAACAAGAAAATAAGCAATGATAATATCAAATTTAATAATTCCATGAATAATATCATAAAACCAAAAGATGTCGATGCTACAAGTAACGTTGTAGACAAAACTAGACATGCTAGTTACCCTAATACAAAAGAAATCAATGATTATAATTTTAACATTACTAAATTCACAGACAAGTACCAACCAGCACACGTTGCCACATCTCCCTTGCGATGCATGCACAAAAGATTTTCCAAACAGTTCAATTGTAACAACTATGATGTAACCTTAAACAGTGAAAATAAATGTGCATCCAACAATAATAGTCTTAACAACATTCCAAATGTTAAAAAAAAACGACTTAGCATTAAAACTTACAGGCTCAACTTACCTCAAAGCAAAATAGCGCAATCATTATTCTTTTACATAAGATATTTAGAGAATTATCGATGGCATGTTTTTTGGTTATCATTTTATACTCTCATTGTATTGGGAATATTCTTAGACAAGGCCTATTGTAAATAGATTAATTATATTCAATAATTGCCTTAATTTTTTTTTAAAGCCTACACTTTCGAGAAAGAACACACTGGTTTAAGAAGAATCGTAGGGTATGGAGGCGCGTTATCTAGGGGTTCAGCGAGCGCATTAATGTTTTGTTATTCCACTATTTTGCTAACAATGTGTAGAAACTTGATAACATTTTGCAGGGAAATTTTTCTGAGACATTTTATTCCCTTCGATGCCGCTTTACAAATGCATAAATATATAGCCTTTTTAGGGATAATATTTAGCTGTAAGCATGATTTTTTCTTCTTTTTATTCTATTACATTTCATTATCAATATATTTGCTTCAGTAGCATAACTAAGGATATATGGGGGGGGGGGGGAGGCATTTGGAGGCCAAAATTGCATATTTTCTTAAACTAATTACAAATTAATAAATTATGCTTATAATTATACTCAATTTAATCCATCATTGCAAATTATTTAATTATTTATATTTTACTATAATAAATAGATTAATATGATACCAAATTCATAATCTAAAATGTGATTCACGAACCGCATTTTAAAAAATGACCAATCTAGTATTATTAGCACTTGAGAAAAAGTTAACAGAACGAATATGATCGATCTGTAAATTTTTTAAAATGTGCGTCTCTTCAATGCCTCCTCCCTCTCATTGTTATTTCTAGTACACGCCCTTGATTTGTTTAAAATTAATATATCATATATTATACATTTATATTCTAACAATACCCTTCAATCATATTATTATATAAGGCAGGAAAATTATTTTATTTTGGCAGAGTATATTGTATCCTCCTTTATTAATTTTTTTTTTCAAATATGCATAGTTTTGCACGTGTTGGGGCACTTCTTAAATTTTTATCACCTCTCAACCCAATCCCCAAATGATCAATTGTGCATGATGAGAAGTTTTTATCACTTAAGTGACGAAACCCCAAAGTTTCATAATTGGTTGTACGGAACAATAACTGGCCTTTCTGGAATACTTTTGATTATGGTATTAACAATCATATATGTGTTCGCACTACCCTTCGCCCGGAGATACCTCTTCAACATGTTCTGGAAGACCCATAATTTGTATGGATATTTTTTATAGTCATCAATATACGAAAATAAAAAATTTACAATTATAATTTTGTGCTTATATAATTGGTTTTTTTAATTATTAGATATGTTGTGTTTTACTTATTAACCTTCATTCACGGACTTGGAATGATGTTACAGATGAGCATATTCTATCTGTTCTTTCTAGGACCCATGATTATATTTATTATAGATAAACTTGTTAGTTTATCTCGGAAAAAGGCCGAAATTCCTATAATCAGAGCTGATATTTTGCCATCAAGTTAATTTTCTACTCATAATTTTTTTTTAAAGTGATTGCTTGTCTTTCTTTTGTGGTCAGCATTTAAATAAATTAAACTTCATATTTATAAAATTAAGATGTAACAAATCTACTGTTCAAAAGACCTCCTAATTTCGAGTACAAATCAGGTCAATGGGTAAGAATAGCCTTAACCAGTCAGGGTTCTAACGAATATCATCCTTTTACTCTTACCTCAGCTCCTCACGAGGATAACCTTAGCCTTCACATTCGAGCAGTTGGACCATGGACCAATAATTTGAGGAGAACATTTGACTCAAATTTTCTAACCATCAATCCACATCCTAAAGTTTGTACTAAAAATATTAATGAAACAAATTATAGATGAACACTTGCTTTTTTGATAAGAAATTTTATAATTAATCATTTTTCGTGGCATAATAATATCGTCTATTTTTAAGATATTGCTAGATGGCCCTTTTGGGGAAGGGCATCAAGATTGGGATAGATTTCAGGTGTCCGTATTGATAGGTGGTGGAATAGGTGTTACTCCCTTTGCTTCCATACTGAAGGATATCGTTCACAAATCTATTTGCAGATCCAAGATGAAATGCCAAAAGGTATACAAATTATTTATTAATTGTATGCATATTAAATATAGGTATATTTCTTATGGATCACTCGTACCCAAAAACAATTTGAATGGTTGACCGATATAATAAAAGATGTAGAAGAGAATGACGTCAAAAATTTTGTATCCGTAAATATATTTATCACGCAGCTATATCAAAAATTTGATCTGAGGACAGCGATGCTAGTAAACTTAATAATTGATTAAATTATTGAAATTCATCTAAATATCAATTTCATAACTAATAATTAGTGTTGTTAAACGGTTCAATTTAGGCCGATTTTAAAAATGGATTTATATCCAGAAATATATTACGCAAGCTTAAAGATTTTGTTCATAGATGGCACAAAGATTCTAACCTCTATTTGCAAAATCCCGAAGTTTAGGCAATATTTTCCTGCCTAAAATATTGAGTTAGCCTTTTATAAAAAGCTCAAATCGAGCCATTTAACAAAACTACTAATAATAAACAAGTGGAATTTGAATCCCCAATTTAATTACAATAAATATAATTTTTAGAAATTTTACCATTTAAATTCAGGATGGATGAGAAGTAGGCTAAATCTCTGTTTGATCCCTCCTGCCTAATCAACAAAGGATAATTAATGAAAATTAAATTATTTAGGAGTATTATACTCGGTTAGTTTGACATTTCTTTCAAGGGTTTTTGAAGACTTACAATAAAAATTTAAAGTTTTTTCTCTAAATCATGAGCCAATTCGAATCTAAATCATGAGTCAATTTTGGCTTTAAATCATGGGCCAGAAAAGTTTCAAAGTTTTAATTTATTTTTAGTATATATGCGAAAGACATTTTTACAAAGTGAATGATCGGAGTTTGTTCACGGGGCTCAAGGCTATTACACATTTTGGGCGACCAGATTTCGTTTCGTTTTTTATGAGCTTACAAGAGGAGCATCCAGATGTATAAATAATAAATAAGAATGAATATTAAATTATTATCCATTTATAAAAGATCGGATTTGAATGTTTGATAAAATTTTTAGATTTTACCCTAGAAAAAAGAATTTTTTTTAAAAAAAGTAGTTTTGTCCTTTATATTTGTCTTTCATGACATTCTGAAAGATTTCTATAAAAAATATAAAACTTAACAAAACATTTTTAAAAAACTGATTAAAAAGTGAGCTTACCGTTATAATTTTGTTCTATTTTGGAAATTTAAATAGAACTATCAGAAAATTTTTTAAAATTAATTTAGTTATGCTAAAAAAATGTTTGTGGGTTATTTAAAAAAATCATATGTTTACTGACCGCTAATTTTTTATAATAGATAGTTAATGTTAAAATTATATTATATAAAAAATGTGTATAGAAAAATATTTGTAATGTAGATTTATAAATTTGGAGTGTTCAGTTGCGGACCCCCAGCGATGACCCATAACGTCGAAAATGCTACTCAAGAAATGAACAAATTGAATCAAAGCGCCTTTATACACCATTTCGAAAATTTTTAGATTATTTATGAATAATAATATTGTAATATAAATTTTAAAAAATTCTCACAAGATAATTTTAGCTCCTGATAAGATGTGTTAAATGATTTTAATTATTGTAACTTCGACAAAAAATAAATAATATATACCAACAATAAATTTGTCAGAATTTATAATTAACTTTGTAGCCTGTTTACACTATAGGGTTCTATTCTAACTCCACTTTGCACCATTTTACATCATTAATACTTTTAAAATATCCTTAAATTAATTAAAATTATGCCTTATATATATATTATAATAAAATATAATTCTTTTATTTATGGGGCTAACCAGAATATAAATGTTGTTTTTTAAAAAATTGTTTTCGTGCAAATATCGTAATGGAGATAGAACCCTAATATGATCTAATGAGTTCATGTTCGAAATCTAAATTATATAAATAATTTAATTTAAATCTTTGGATATCAAAAGTAATTTTAAGATGAAAAAGAAAAAAATCGTTTGCTATTAAACAATATTGCTGGGAAACCTTTATATAATTTATTTTGAAAAACCATAAATAAAGCTATTTTCTCCAAATCGCGCAGTCTTATGCGTTTCCCGTATTATAAAAATAATAAATATCTAGATAGTCTGTTGAGTAACGTTTTATCGCCTGACGTCTTTTAAAAAATATACTTTTTGTAGGAAACAATATTTCTTACTAAATGTTATATTAATCAACTTCATGATGATCCCTTTTTCTATACTCTCATCATAAATAGAAAGGTCCTATCTATTTTGAGATAATTGCAAAAATCATTAATTTAATTTATAGCTTTTAAATAAATATTGATTTGATAAATTATTTGTAGTTGAGTTGATAAACCTATTCTATTATATTAATCATTTGTAATGTCTTTTCACATTAAAATGTTTATTTTGTCTACGACATTCCAAGATTTATTCGGCACATTTAGAAATATAAACAGATAATGTTTATAAATAGCTTTTTTAATAATTTTGGCTTAAAATCAAGGAAAGAGCTACTTTAATTTAAAGGTTTTCTATAAAGTAGTTTGAAGATTTAAGAGTTTGCTTTCTAAATATTCAATTAAATCTATAGCCAGGATAGGTTGAATAAGCGCTGGAATTCCAAAATTTCATATGATATTAATTCTTATTTCTTATGCGCAATATGTTATTTAATCTTTTAAAATTCCATATTTCATGTCTCTCAAATAATTTTCTTGTTTAATCCTCATTATAAATAATGACAATGGTGTTCTGAGGGGCAGGCGAAACCCTGAAGATGTTGACAGCATTGTTTTACTTCTTAACGAAGCACTATTTTGGGTCGACTCCAAAAACGGCGAAACCAAGTTTTTCACAGAAAATCTCAGACTTGAGGTCTTTGCCGAAAAGATGGCCTAACCTTGCGTTAACAGTTAGCGCGAATTCGCGGCCTTGGGCCTATGTTTGAGACAAGTTAAAATAGTTTCACTGTTATTACTGTATAAATTTATGACAGAGATTGTGTTTATTAAATTTATTTAATTTTAAAATTCTATTTAAATGATTGTATAAATAAAAATGTGCAATAAAATATGAATTAGTACCAATTAAAAAACAAAAAAAACGAAAAACAAAGTTTGTTTTTTCTCAGAAAAAGAAACCGTTTTTTTTATCCCTAGTAATAACTAAAAAAAAATTAGAAAGGACACAGGGATAAGCGCTTTTTTTTAAAAAAAAATCTTATATTATTTTTTTGACATTTTCCCTCTTGTAATATTAGTTTCGTCATTTTTAAAATGGGTTTCGTGAAAAGCAGCTTAGAATCTAAATTAAATATTATGCATGCAATTTATTATAGTAAAATATAAATAATTTGTAAAAATTTTCTAAGCAATTATTTCTTTATTTAAATAAAAGTATCTAATATGCTATATTATAATAAAGGATGAACATTATTTAATTTAAAAAAGTTAATACATATGTCAGACGATGAAATACAATTATGATAAAGGAGAAAAAAATAGAAGAAATATAAGATAATAAACGAAAGGAGAAAAAAAAATGTGAGTGAGAGAAGAAAATAATGTCGGGGAAGGAATAGAAGAGTAGATATAAATTTTTTATAGCGAATATTTGCGGTAAGAAGCCTTTGTCGTAAAAAGAGATTTTTTGGGTTGACCTTTTTACGAATCCTTCTTACGAATTTCATAATTTACTATCGAAAGAGATTAGAGTAGAGCAAGCTGGCAAGTGCGAAAGCATCAACAATTTTATTCTTAAATGGGTAAAGAGTCAATCAGGTGAAGTCCCAAACCATGATCTAGCTCCTTGATCAAGGAAGAATAAATTATCTCTGGACATTTTCTGATCGGTTTTAAAGATGTCACTTAGTTTGAGTGAAAAGATCTGGGGCAAAATTACACAGTTAGGCAATAGGTAAATACCGGATCTGAACTCGTGTGCCTAGAGGAAATAAAGATTTGAAATAGTATAGTTTCCATAAACTTATAATCAGATCCTCGATTTAAGATGTGAAAACAGGTGAGATCGCTGTCATGAAGGTTTATTTTAGGTGGACTTTGTTGAGTGTTTGAGAGAACAGAATTGCTGCATATGGTGTGGGCTTCAATTAATAAGGTATTGGAATAAAATGGGAGAGCAGATGAATACAAGATTACTGAGAGGCGGGAGTAGATGGACCTGCTGATGGAGATGGTTAGATGTAATTTCATAAAATTTTGCAAGGAACGGAGATAATATCTTCTGCATGAGATTTAACTAAAATAGCACTAAAAAATAAATCGGCAAATTTCATGTGTAAGAAGGTCTAACTTTTTGGGAGGACCCTGCTTTTAAAATTTGCCTATAATTATGGTCCTGTTTAGCTTATATGATACAATTTAATTCCCATCAATATTTTCTAGCAATAAACAAAAATTTTTTAAAAAAAAATATATTCCTCTTCCTGGGAAGAAGTGGCCCTTTTTAATGGTATAATTACAGTTTGAACAATATTTATTTTAATGGGATTAAATTTTGGCAAGGAGTATTATATCGTTTCATAGAATGAAAAAATTAATATAATATAATGTTATATTTTAACAAACTATAAAGAAGTTATAAACATCAGAATCAATTTAGACGTCATATCAGCCAAAAATTATCCTAAATTCATAGCATGTTTAAATGATTTTAAAAATTCTAAATATTCTCCTCCTAATCATTATTATTTAAATAAAGAATTCCTTGCCTTATTTTCTAAAAGTTGTGGGAGTATGAACAAAATATTATATTGATGCTATATCAGTATAATTTTAAAACTGCGATAATAATGGTATTCTACAAGCATATTTCTTTTACATACCTTTTTTATCCAGTTCCAATATATTTTAATAAAAAACAAAGAAATAGATAATAATAGTTATTTTTTTAAAAAGAAACTCTAAAATGTACATAGACATAAATTAAAATCAAGCATAACTCTTTTTCATATTAAGAGAGTTCAATAAAATAAATTCAGTTGATGATAAAATATAATTATATATTATTTTTAGATAAAATATTAGTATTCGATTTTTTTTTAAAAGTCACTGAGCTTACAGAGGTGAATGGATCAAGAAGAAAATAAATATTTTCTTGATCAACGAGAAAAATTTAAGATATTATGTGTATTTTTTAAAAAAAATATATATAATTTGCAAATTACTTAATGTAAGGTCGATAATACTTTACTTAAATTATTATTGATGTAATATTAAGAAATCGTATAAATTGAATATAAAATTGTGAAAACGCTTCAAAATCTTTTTAAAAGAAATTGCATAAATAATATTTCAAAATTTTAGAAAATATAATAGTATTTTAAAATTTATTCATAAATAATATACCGATTCTATCAAAAAATTTTATTCCTATTATTAATGAAGGCACAAATATCTCATGTTTTGATAGCAATTTATATGACCTTATCTTTACTTTATCATGCCAAATTCGTAATATCAGACAAGGTGAGCCGACTCAATATGATGAACTCCAAAGACGAAGCTCATTCTTTAAACAAAATAGAATGGGAACCAAAACATATCGTAGCCAACGGCCATAAAGCAGATGATAGCAAAACATTTCCTATTCCGAAGCGCAACTATAATGAACATTCTGAATCGCCCAAAGATTTTATGAAAAACAAAATTAATATCAGGTATAGTTACGTTAATGGAAAACAAAAAATCCCGTTTAAAATAGTAAAGGAGACTTGTTTAAACTATGTGAAGCAATCTTTGTTTGGTCAACATTTTAATTTTTTGAAGGATAATATTTCAGATTTTCTAGAATCTAGCAATAGAAATACTAACATCAAAGCATTAAGGGAAGAGATTGACACAATTTCTGATTTAATTCAAAATTTGGAACAAAAGCAAAAGCAAGGGATAACTCAAATGTCATTAGATTCCTTCATTATCAATGGATTAGTAATAATTTCCACTTTTATATTCATTAATTTATTACAGTTAAATAAAATCAACTTCCAATAATTTTTTAAAATAAAATGTTTATAAAATAATTATTCATGTAATATTTAAGGCTGATCAGACCGATGCATATCTCAAAAACACATTTTATCATCCTAATCTAGGCTTCTTGGGCAGTGAGGTAGACAAAGTCTCTAACAGAATGGTCCATGAATTGTTCAACAATGAATTCGATGATGACTTTATTTTAGAAGATACATTTTTGGAAGACTCTGATTTACATTTAAAAGCCTCATCAGATTTGGTAAAACGTCACTCTGCTCACAAACAAAACTCACACATAATCAATCATGAGAACCGTAAAGCAGCTAATCGTAAAAAAAGGAATGTATTAGGTACTACCGTTTATCCTGCTCAAAATCTGTCCTCCATAACAGTTGTAGTTACCAAAAGTTCGCATGTTTTAGCTAAAGATAATCTTAAAAAGGCTCTGAAAATGAAAGAACAACAAGAAAAAAAAGCTGAAGCTGTTAGAAATGCTCGTAAACAGTTATTTAAACAACACACCAAAAATCTTAAAAGTCTCAGATCAGGGTGCGAACGGAAAGCAGCTCATTCCGAATTTTTAAAGAAGATGGCCCAACAAAAGGTCAGTGAATTAAAGTTAACGATTCACAGAACTAAAGTAGAATTAAAAAAAATAATCAATGCCCAAAGAAAAAAAGAAAGTCTCAAAGCCATTCAAATATCAAAAATGATTAAGCTAAAGGATATGAAGATTAAACAACTACGAGAAAAATCTTTGCAAGTTAGACAAAGGGCTCTAAAAATAAAGCAAAATAGATTGAAAGAAAGGGGTGAAATCTCGTCAAAGAAAGTTAATATAAAAAAAAGTCTTGCTGCTATAAATAGGAACATTACTCTAGCAGCTGACAGCATAAAAAGGAATACAAAAAATGATATGAGCATGAATTACTTTTAAACAACAAATTACGTATAATATTTTTTAAAAAACAAAATAAAGATTCTAGGAGTGAGTCTTACGTGTACATATGTCATCGCTTGGGTATTATTGTATATTTTTACTTTTATAACCTATATATTTCAATATATTTAATAGCGCAAGCAGTCACAATGTTTTTTTTATCGGTTTTTTTTCTATTCTATTCTTATATACAACAAATGGGAAAAATATAATTTATTTATCGAGTCCTAATTTTAAAATAAAATGTTTATAAATTGTCAATTTTGTTTTGGACCATTATTTGATTTAGAACAAAACACCACTTCTCATCAGTAAATGAAAAATCAAGTAAAAACGATTCCCCTTGCACCATTTTCAACACCAGAAGATAATGGCGTGTCTATTATTTTAATCCGGAAAGGGGTGAGAGGTGTAAAATTTAAATTTTTTAAATTATATGAATATCCCCCCCCCCCCACCCAATATGCTACTGTTAGAGAATCACCAAGAGACAATAGTTTATATTATAAAACTACAACAGCCTTATGTGTTTTAATTGGGTGTATAATTTAAAAAAAATCAATATATTATTAAGATCACGATCATATTTTTTTAAAATTATATTTTAATAAATAATTTTTGTTTTAAATCTTTGCTACATTTCTTTAATTTGAAAAAAAAAATGAAGATAAAATTTCAAACCTTATTATAATTTAAAATAAATATGATATAAACTTAATGTTTGCTTTACATTACATAATTTTTATGGCCTCTAAGCAGGGAGAAAAAAAAGGAAATTATTTTAAAGATTTTGGTTGTAAGAAGGCATTTTAAAAAAAAATTTAATATTTTTAAAGGGGAATTTTAACTTAACCCAGAACTAGAAATTTTTGAATCCCAACCATCAAATTAAGATAATAAAATAGTTAAGTTCCCTCTATAATTCATGTATGATTGCCAATTTATTATATTTTATTTTTTTAAAAATAAGTTTTACGATATTCACGATTTCACAATTTTTCTGATTTCGATATTTTTTTTGAGTTTCACGATTGGTATTAATTAAAATTAAATATAATTTATTTTTTTAACAATTAACTCAATAAATATCAAATATTTGGCTAGATACCAAAAATATTTTGCTGATAAGGTGCAACAATTTTTTTTTACCCTTGGATTAGGTTAGGAAATTCCAATTATAATTTACCAGGACAAAATCCGATAAATGTTAATAGGGGATGTGCTGCTTTTATCAGGAACAATTTGGGCAAGTGGTGCCTTTTTATACCAGGACAAAATCCGATAAATGTTAATAGGGAATGTGCTGCTTTTATCAGGAACAATTTGGGCAAGTGGTGCCTTTTTATAAATAAAATAAAATAAATCTAAAATAATTCTTATACAAATTTTCAGATATTTTCTAAGGGGAGGGGGGGGGGATACTTAACTTTTCTCACCATATTGGAGGTCTTTAGATCCCTTTTTTGACTATCTGATATATATTTTGCAAATGTTAGTATTTTACTTAAAAAAATTTTTTTTTTTAAGTGTGTGGGGGGGGGGGGGCGGAGGAGGAGATGTAATATACGAGTTTAACGCATCGCAAACTTGACTTGATTGATAATGCCACAACACCATTTCAATTTATTTTTTTGGCAAGTACTTAATTGCTTTCAATTTTAAGTTTTCTATATTGTGATTTGTGAAACTGACACTAGTTTTCTGATATTTTATTAAAATAAAAGTTTTTGTATTTACAATAACTTATAGTATGAAATATGATGTTCAATTATTATGCTCAGGGAATCAAAAAAAGGACACTTTTTGCGTTCCAGGAAAATTTCAAATTTATTTGTATTTGAGTGGCATGGTATAACTTCCTAAACAATTCGTTAAATCTTCAATTTAATAGCAAAACAAAGCCAAATTCTTATATCTCCCAATTCTATGGGAAATATGTTAAAAGCAGCGAAAGGTATGATTCTGAGTTTAGAAAATTAGCTAAAGAAGTTATAATTCAAAATTCCCCAACAAAAAGTAAACTAAAATTTCTCTTGATTATGAGGTAGAGAATAAATCTGTCCTTTTGACAGATCAGCAAAAGTAAATAAAATAAGTTTTTTTTCTTCTATAGATGATATTATAATAAAGTTAATTGAAGAGTGCACAAATTATTCTAATTTAGAACAATTATAAAATCATATTAAATGTTTTGATCATTTATGAAATATGATACAGTTTTAGACATAATACTTCTTACTTTTACATAAGGCCATGTAGGTTAAGTTGCTACATGTATTGAAACGATAAAAATCTTAATTCCACTTGGTAGCCTATAATATATTCCCAAAATCTTGAATCTATATTACCGAACATATGTTTAGCCCTAAAAATCCTATTAACGATATCAATTATTGAATAAGTGCGAAAAGTTTGTTAGGTAAAAAATAATTGTAAACTATTTGCTCAAGAAAGACACACACATAGGCATAGCGGATGTGGGGAGGCTTTGGAATTGCCTGTTTTCGTAAATATCTTTTAACTAATAAAAAAATCTCTTAAGTATTTAGGTCTATAGAGAATAATCTGTTCCGATTTCAGTTTGATATGTACCATTACCGTTTTCCAGATATTAACTGTTAAAGTTTTATGTGCCAAAAATATAAAACACTCAAATTAATTAAAAAAAATTTTTTAACGTATAACGATAGAGAACTTTTATTTCTTCTTAATTGATACTTCAAAATAATTTTTATCTCCATTATTTATTTCTAAAATTAAATGTAAACTTAAATTATGGTGTGATGTTACACCCTCCCCCCCCCTCCCCCATTGCACCTTTGGCAATTTTCATTATAAATGGAATCGATTTGTACCGTTTCAAACTCGATTTGTACCATTATCTTTTTTGAGATATTCGCTTTCAAAATATTAGCGGTAAAAACAAAAACACTCAAAATTAATTTTTTTTAAACATATAAAACGATAGAGCCTTTTTTTTTCCTAGTGATACTTCAAAATAATTTTATCTCCATTATGGATTTCTGAAATCAAATTTTAAACTTAATTGTGAGCCGATTTTGATCTCAATATTATATTTCCAAATTTGTCTAATTTTTAGCATTAAATAATTTAAAAACTCTAGTCATATCATACGAATATATTTACTAACTCAAGCTCATATTTATTTTAGTTAAAATTAAAATATTTAATTGACAATCATTACGGAAATTTTTTCCTAAATTGAGTGTCTCAAACGCTGCGTTCCAAACGAAAATAATCATTTCAAATGGTATCGTGTAAATTGATCAAATTAAGGCTTTGCGTTTGCACCCATTTCAAGAAACATAAACTGGTTTGCTTTTTTCAATACATTTTTAATCGTCATTTTGAAATATTATATAAAATTAACTTATCTTTTAGAATGGAGTATTTAGAAATTAAAATGAAATAAAAAGGCAGACGATAATATAATTTACAAAATAGTATTCTTTTTTTGGAACTTATTTAAAATTTTAATCGACGATATTAATTAAAAAGCAAACTCAATTTAAACAAGGGATGCGTTGAGCTTTTTTTTATATCAATACCTCGTTCTAGCTTGACTAAATTTACGAATTTAATATGCGAATTTTGTGTTAATAAGCGTAAATGTTCACGTTGCATAACTAAAGTTAATAATTAATTTTAAATTTCGGAATCCTATGTTATTCATAAAATTTTAAACGAACACATATGATATGTGAATTTTGTTTTAAATGGCTGGATATACGAATAAATTAGTTCACTAAATTCGTAACTAATTTGGTAGAACTAAAAGAGGTATAAAAAAGTGCAACACGCAAACGCTTAATTTATTCGTAATATAAATTCCAATTTGACAAAATCTATTGCAGAAAAATTCTCAAAACTGAATTTTATTAAAGGTATATATTATTAAAATTACCACCTGGATTACAAAGTAACTTATTTTTCCGGCGAATTGTGACTTTGTTTATTTAGCCTTGAAGCTAAATTTTATCATATTTTTTTTTTAAAAATAATATTTTTTCTTATTTTAATAAATAAAAAAAATTTGTTTATTTTTATAATTAATTCTAAACCAATGTGTTTTAATTTTATATAATTTGGCAACAAATTTCTTTATAATATTAGGATAGGTGTCCATTTGATTTGTCACTTATGACAGGATTTATATGTTCAACTTAATTTCCAAATTCATTTAATTTTTTTATATATTAAAAAAAAATAATTGATCACAAATAATCAATAATAACTATAATAATATATCAAAAATATATGGTTCATTTAAAAAAAATTAAATTACCCTTTTCATACATAAAAAAAAAATCCTAGATCAAATGTAAATATTGAAATGATCTTAATGGAAGAAAATGGAAATAAGTTAGATAATTTAAAGCACCCTGAACCTTTACCCTCCGTAAGCGATCCACTTATTAAATACGACCATCGCCTCTCCAACTCTACAACTAATAATGGATCTGGTTATATTAACGCAAATGGACATAACAAAGGTAACTACGACGCTAACGATTCGCACAGCAAAGGAAAAAGTAGTACATGCCTCGCGGGAAATAGTGGCACATGCCTTACTAGGCGCCTCAAAATATACAAAAACGTTTTCGTGCTAAGCTTCTCCTTCTTCTTACTCTTTTCGGCCTTTCAGGGCTTGGTTAACTTGCAAACTAGCATTCATAGTGATGGGTTAGATAATGAGAGCTCTTATCAAAATGCGAGCAATAAAAATCAAGGAGGCCTAGGCGCTTACACTATGTGCGCCATGTATTTAGCCTTAGCCGTGTCTTCTATATTGCTACCTCAAATATTCATCGACCGTCTCACCCTTAAATGGACGATAGTTCTATGCATATTATTATACACGGGTTATATATTCGCAAATTTAAGACCCTCCTGGATCACATTAATACCTGCGGCTATATGTTTAGGGTTGGCGGGGGCCCCCTTATGGACAGCTCAATGCACCTATATAGCCCAGTTGGGAAGATTCCTAGCACAAGTTATTATCAATCAACGATCTAAACGAGCTCACGTTGAAGCCGTGCGAAGCGGAAGGGATTCTGATAGGTACAATTTAAAATTATTGACAAATAAAGATACGAGAAAAAGAAATAGACAAATGAGCTACGATTCAAATCGCGAGTCCTTGAACAGTGACAATACCAACATAGAAGAAGGGAGAGAGGTACAGTACGGGAAGATGAAGGAGATCGATAGAGATGATGATGATATTAATAACGTCTCTACTATTACTAATGATAATGATGAGAGCCACACCATGCATAAGAATAAATCAATAAAGAGGAAGATGGTTAAGAAACTTACAGAAAAAACGATTCCTCATTTACTAGGAATATTTTTTTGCTTTTTCCAGGGTGGACAAATATTTGGTAATATTATATCCTCGTTGACGCTACAATCAAACGTAAAAGATATATTTTTATTTCCGAAACCAATTCCACTAAATACTAACTATCAGTGGCATAGTAAAAATACAAAATCACTTCAAAATGTGCATAGGTTATATGAATATTTGGCTCAAAGACAATATTGTGGTGGAAAGCATTGCCCTTTAACCGATAGTAATATTATCGAATACATTCGGAAAGATAAAAACTATTCCGGTATATATGGTCAGGATGTTCTGTCCGTGCATAATTCTAAAACTGGTTTGGTAAAGTTAAAACACAGAGAAATAATAATATCAAAAATCAACATGCTATGTTACGTATATGCCATTATGAGTATGTCTGCTGCCTTGATGGTAGCTTTGTTTTTAGACCCAATATCTATTCCTAGCTTAGCCAGCTTAATTCCGGTATCTACTATAAATGAGGCTAGTGACAGAACAGATACTTTGCATAGGACTATTCTGAATCCTTTTAAGAAATCAGATAAAATATTAAGCCACAAACTACTCAATGATACACTATCTCCCGCTCTCTCGCCTTCCATTCATAAAGAATCGGAAATGTTTAATTTCAATATTGCAAAAACGAAAAACATCAAGTGTTGTAAAGCGAATTACTTATATGAGATCGGCTCCACTTTCAGACAAATGAAAAATAATATCCAAATCCTTCTTATACCATTGACCATTTACATGGGCTTAGAACAAGGTTTTGTGGCCGCTGATTTCACTCGAGTAACTTTAAAATATTTTTTGTATTAATCCCATATGATATTAATCAGAGATATAGCTAAAAGAAACCTTACAGAAATCTAAACTGAACAAGAATCAATATGTCATTCTCAACCATAATCTCTAACATTACAATTCTTAAACCCAGGGATTCGAACCGAACCCGAACCCGGAAAAGAAAACCTGGGTTTTTGCGTAAAAATCTGAACCCGAACCGAACCTGAACCCCGTTTATAGAATTTTCAAAACCCCGAACCGAACCCGTGAATTTTATTTGAATCCGGGTTCCACCGGGTTCAGCTTATTGTTTAAAGTCATATATTAAGATATTTGTGTAAATACAAATATTTGTAATTTAATTGAGATTTTATAATATTTTCAAATTTCCAATTAAATGTGTTTATAAATTTTAAACAACTTAATGCATTGCATATACGCCATTTTTAAAACTTATTTAATTTATTCTCAAAGATTCCTATTGGAGTGTTAATAAATTTTAAACAATTAAATTCATCTAGCCAATTATTTTTAATTTTTAACTTATTCTCAATGATTATTAAGAGGAGAATGAAAGTGAACAATTCAAAGTAAAAATTATTATATTGTATATTGTTAATTTAAGGAAATATGTCATTAAATTTTTAAAATTGATACATGACTATGCTTATTTTTAACTGTATTTTGCCTATAAATAAAATAAAAAATTTATGTTTTATGTCAAATTTATGTCTAGTTTTTTATGATTTAAATATAATTTTTTTTTTATCAATTCAAAAATTCTTATAACCAAGCTGAACCCGGAACTAAACCAGGGTTCAAAAATATTTCCCTGAACCGAACCCGAATTGAACCCACTTATTTTTATTTTACCTTAAACCTAACTCGGTGCCGGGTCCGCATCCCTGCTTAAACCTTTCGTCGAATTGGAATCTTCAAAATAAAATTCCAATTCTGGCGTATTGAAAGTATAAGGCCATTTCCAGACAAAACGTTTTTTAGGCGGTTTCCTAGACATGTTTCCAGCATTTTTCTGTAAACATGCCTATGAAACTGCTTTGAGAAAACATTTTTTCTGGAAATGCCTAATATGAAATTTATTATAATGGTGTTCTATCCATGTCCTTTTTCCTAAGGAGAGACTTTTAATTTCATACATAGAGTTAGGTTGGAGAAATAATTTTTAGTAGAGTAGACTTATAAGACTTCGAGAGGATAATTTAAATTCCTGGTCATGTTCTATATAAAAAGTTTAACATTCATTTAATCAAATACATCACTCTCCCTATTTTCATATCTTTCCATTGCAATTTTTATCGAATGATTTTTACACATCTAGCTTAATTTTGTTAACTTAATACATTTATCCATTGAATCACGTTGATTTCGTGGTGGTATCTACCAACTACACCTATAAAACCAACACATTTGGCCCAACACTCCTGGATTTTAATATTAAACTCTGATATCGTAGTCAATTCCTACAGGACCGGAGGGAATAAAAAATAATTTGGTTTTACACTCATTTTTTTATTTATATTAAAATGCTTTTTTTCTTAAAATTTTTTTTAATCATTTATAATGTATTATAATTATTTTGGGGAAGAAAGAGGTGAGGACTGAGGAGAGCTTATGGGAGGAGATAATTTTTATTGGCTTAAAATCTGAAATACACAGAAAAGGTATTATTTTTGGCGATACCGATTACTGAGGCATCGGGTCTAATTTTACAAACCAGGCCTTATTAATCAAACTATTTTATTTATTCCGAAAAGCCCGACCCTAAATATAAATTATTTGTCGGCACGGCCCGATATTTTTAATATTCGGATCTTGGATGGTACCACTAATACTTATAAAAAATTACATAAAACCATACATTAACCCAAATTTATTTAAATTCTTAAATTTTTATATTTACTTCTATGGCTAAAAATTATTTTTACAAAAAAGGCCATTTTTTCCCATAAATTTTGAAAAATTAGTATGCATGATTAAAATCAAGTTTTAATTTAAATAACATATTTTTAAAAGAATTTAAAAAAAAACGCCAATGATGTAATAGTAATAAAAATGAATTTGAGAAATTTTCTTTTTTTTTACAGATTGTGATTGATAAGTTTCTTAGAGGGGCAATGTTTTAAAATTATTTTATTAAATTAAAAATTGTATAATTCTCAAAAACTAACAATTTTTATGATAAATTATTAAAATATTTAACCATAGAACACTTAACTAGTTACAACGGATTTACTTTCAGACTTCCTAAAAATAACAACTAAACAATTTAAATAGTCATAAATTTAAAAGTAAATAAGATTTTTTCAGAAAAACATATAACATCCTATTTTATAAAAAAAAATGTATGTAGTGATTTTTTTTATTCAATAATTAGCAATGTTTTAAGCACAATTTGCCATGTTGCACTGATCTCATGATGTTATCAGTGGTATCATAATTGAGAAGGGCAATTTGAAAATCGTTAGATATGTTGGTTTCATTTTTCATTTTTACTATCCAAATTAAAACCAAATGCATATTTTCTTTTGTAGGACATTATAAAATTGATGTATTCTCACCTATTTATAACCTCAATTTAATCTAACCATTTTATAAATATTTACAATTGAATTTGTTTAGAAAGTGTTTTTTTGAGCATGATCATGATTTACCAATAACATGAATTATTTAAAGACAGTGGCATAGACAAGAGTATTTGGGGTTGAACCCCCCCTTCTATGGATAATATGATATTTGCAATAATTGTTGCTATTCACTAATCAGATCATTATCTTTTTTAGATAGTTTATAATATATAATAAATAGCAATAAAGAAAGTTTATTTTTGCAAATATTATAAATAAATCAGATTTTTGATGTTAATATTATATAGTTTTTTAAATAACTTTTTTGGCTTTCACCAAATAAAGTTTTTTTGAATTTATCAATTATTTTATCATGCATAATTAAAAAAAAATTTTTTTTATCTTGCATAATTAAAAAAAATTTTCTTATCATGCATAATAAAAAAAAATTCTTTATAATGAAATTTAATTATCAAGAAGCATGGTGTTTCTATAAAATATCAAATTTCTTGTTGTTGACTTTAGTATCCTAATTGTAGGTTATATGATAAATTATTGCTGTGATGCCGTGCCGATGTCAAAAACTTGCATAATGGCATCCTAAAATAATTAATTTTCACTCAAAGAAATTGTTTGCTCAAATATGATATATTTTAAGGTGTACTAATTAAATTTCGGCGTGCTGAGGCTTTTTGCCTATTTTTGCTGATGCCACTGAATTAACGCTATCTTATTGCACATTAATTTAGGCTCCGAATTATGTTTAAAATATTATATATATAATGTTGATTTTTTTAAATGTCAATTGCAAAAAGGCATTTGTATCTTGCTATTTTGGTTTACGATTCGTGGGTTTAGTCATGTCCTTCTACGGGGTTATCGATGCCTTATCTTCGATTATGGGCGGAAGTATCAACAACCTTTTCCCTAGATATCTCATCTTCGTTCTCATATATTTTACACATATTTCTTGTTTACCTGTCATGTATTTCTACCCTAATTTCGGTGATAAATTCATGCACGTTTTATTTATCGCAGGGTTATGGGCCATAGGCGACGGAGTGCTACAACCACAACTAAACGGTATCTATAACATTTTTATTTTTGTGCCAAGTGATTGAATGGAGTAAAACTGAATTCATATGGGATCCGATTCGGATTTAACAGCTTTTAATGAGAGCAATCTTTCTTTAATAAAATAAATAATTCTTAGATTATTATCATGAATAGAATTAAAAATAAAATTAATATTAATTAAAAAAAATCGATCTCACAAACGGATTTTAAAAATCGATCAGCTGTAAAATTGTGTTGAATCGGATCCCACTATGAGTCCAGTCTATGTATATAGTTAGATAAAATTAAAGTGAGAATAAGTATAATTATAAATATTTTTTTATTAATGGAAGGGGGGGGAGTATAAAAATTTCGTATCCGGTCCAGCGAAACTTTTATCGTGAAACACTTTTTCGAGAAATTTTTATCTCGAATGTCTTTTATAGCGAAGTTTTTAGAGCGAAGGAAATATAACGAAACCAATTCCGCGAGATTTTTCCGCAAAACATTCATTGCAAAGACAATATCGCCAACCCATTTTTGCGATACTAATTTCGCAAAACCTTAATGCGAATACTTTAGAGCGAATACATTTAGCGAAACCTTTATCGCAAATACATTTAGCGAACCTCTTATTGCGAATGCATTTAGCGAAACCTTTATCGCGAACCCTTAATGGCGAATTTTTTACTGCGAATGTATTTGAGCTACGCGAGCGTATTACCGCGAAACTATAAATATATTGTGAATGCATTTATTAAAAGAAACATATAATAATTTGCCCACATAAGTTTCTATCATAAACGCAAAGTTTTTAAGAATCTTTTATTACTTATTGTCTGTTAAGTAAGCATGTGACATTTATCTTATGTGATAAAAAATAAATTAGCCATTTCTTTCAAATCTCTCTCTCATTCATGGTTATAAGTAATAGAGAAAAGATATAAGAGCCTTAATTGCCATTGGGAGAAAATTATATATATATATATTCAGAGTTGGGCAGGTCCTCTTGTAATACCTAGATACATATACAGATTCTTTGTGAAAAAATGAATCTTAGATACAGATACAAGTATCTTTTACAAAATATCAAAAAGATACAGGATAAAAGATACTTGTATCTTTTACTTATTTAGAGTATCTTAAATACAAGACACTTTTAAATTATCATTACCAATTAAATTAGAATAGCTTATAAAATACAATTTTTACTATTTATTTGTTAAGAACATAACATACACATATAAGAAGAATGAATATTTACAATAATTTATAAATCATTTAATGATGAGTTAATTATAATAATCAGGCATTTTAATATTAGTATTAGCCCATCCTTAGCATAGAATGAGAAGGGAGACTAGTATTTTTAATTGGAGTGAAATATTAATTTGCAGAGTATTTAAATTCATTATAAGATAATCAAATTTTTCAAATAATTTATCATTAGACCTTTGCTGTTTCGGCGTACTTAACATTATACCAAAATTAAATAACCTTAATTGGAGCTGATGAAGGTAATGCAGTTTTATATGTATAAAAAATTTCCTTAATGGAAAGATAATAATTAAGCATTTATAATATATTTCGACTTAATATAATTTAAAACCTCCAACTTAATGTTATTCTTGTTTGTTTTATTGAACTCAGCACCATTTGTTTCACCAAAAGAAAAAATCATCGTATGAGCTTGATTATATACTCTTAGGACTTCATTTATTAAGATATTTTGAAATTATTTTTTTTATTATCCGACTCAATCCATAAGTTCTTAAAATATGGATGTGATATTGATGTCAAAAAAGCCACATTATATTCAAATCATAGGAAAATATTTTCTTAAAATCTTTTGCCCATACCATCTTGGGCAGCTTTTAATAATGGTAGACAATATTGTAAACTTTGATTTTTAAGATAACCTATGCCCCTTTTAACTACACATAAATTATATACATTATTATGTTTAACAAACTTTGTGTTTAACCCTTTATCATGTTTTGTTTATACAGGTTATATATCTAGCCTGTAAATTGTCTTTTTAACTTTTATTTTAAAAAAATTTCCACAAAATATTTTAAGATCGGGATATGATTCAGCGGAACTTATTTCTATAAATTAAATTTCACTACCATGAGTGTTCATCATCCTACAAATTGCATTAAATTGGTAATTATATTCTATCGAGTTATACATTTATATATAAAATATAATCTATACTTATTTCGTTTTGGTGTTGTTATTTTTTATCTTTCTACCTTAATGTGAATTGTTAATTTTACAGGTAAATTTGGCTGTCAATATATTAAAATGTGGAGGAAAAAAATATGGAAATTAATACAAGATTTTCGAAGAAAAGAAAATATTTACTGTGATATGTAAAATTTTAAACATGAATATTAAAAAGAATCTGTATCTGTATCTTTTGTCAAGAAAATAAAAATGAAAAAGATACAAAATTTTTTTCAGAATAAAGGATCTTAGATGCGGATACTAGTATTTTATTAGAAATGTCAAAAAGATACAGAGTACAAGATACAAAAGGATATTGTATCTTGTATCTTGGATACAAGTATTCGCGGTACTGCCCAACTCTGTATATATTAAAGTTTTGCAGGAAAATTAGTACAAAACAAGGTCTTGGCGGACTTTTAATAAATTTAACGCGCCTGGCTGGACTTCCTTTTTGTAAATTATTAAAAAATTTTAACCAGCCGGAGAAAAATTTGACGCGATGGGTAGGCAACTTGTACAAAACTCTTGCCGGGTCGAACCTTGCAGATCTCTAGTTTCTATATCAAGACACAGGACAAAACGGGTTAAGTGTTTATTTTTTATTTATATTTATACATTTTTTTCTGGGGAAATTTATATCTTAGAGGGACAGGCTTATTAATATTTTTGGCATAAGAGTTTTATTTAGGCAATAATATCAAATGAAAGCTAATAAAAATAATTGAGTGCCAAATCATTACTCTGAGTCCTCGAATTTAAATCATGGAGAAAGCATGGATAGCATAAAAAATTATATTCCGATAATAAATTTTATAAACCAATTCTAAACTCAATAACATTATATAAATTATTAAGGATAAAAGAGAGTTAAAACTCTATAAGTGTGAATCTATATTTTTATTTATCAAGGTTAAAAGAAAGTTAAAAACTCTATCAGTGAATCGATTTTTCAAACTATTTTTTTTAAATATTAGTTAGCTTATATGGTCTAAAAATAAATGTTTCAAAATAAAATAAGTCACAAATAGCAGATATTGACTTCGCGATATATGTTTCGCGAAATAGTTTTCGCTATAGTTCCCGATTTCGCGATAATGACCTTCGCTATATAATTTTCGCAATTTCACTGCAATGTGATAATTCTAAAGGGTTCACGATAAGGGTTTCACTATAAAAAAAATTACACTATTGTCTCCGCGGAATAGTATTCGTAAATGTTAATTCACAATAAATGTTTCGCTATAAAATTCATTGGCTATAATAAACATTCGCGATTAACGTTACGCTGAATTGATATAGAACCCACAATTTCTATATATTATATTAAAATAAAATTTAAGGTTTGTACGGGACACTTTTCAATAAACGAAAAGAGACATCGGCATACGCTAATTGCAGACTTTGGGAAGCGGTGGGATTTCTTATTAGCTTTGGTCTACATGAAAAACTTTGTATTAAATATAAGTTTATAATACTGGGATGCGTCTTGACCATTGGAATGATTTGTTATGGATTAATAGAATACATTTTATTTAGGAGGCGCCGTCAGAGTTCTCATTAAATCTGAATATTATATTTTGGCTGTATCCTAGTATCAATTTTTTTTAAAGTACAAACTAGATTTAATAATTTTATGTCTTTTAACATTGACATGGACATTTTTCATATGATTTATAATATATGCAAAAATTTACCATTTTTAAAGTGGAGTGTAGCTTAAAGTTAAACATCTCAGCTTTGGTACAACAGGTATCAAATTCGAACCCCATGATTTGGCAAAATAATTTTCATATCAATCTTTTTTTGCTGAAGCTAATTTGATATTAGACGCGAAGTTATACCCTCTAGTGAAATTAAACTGAACTCAAGGTTGCCAGAGAAACCAAGGAGGGAACTAAGCATCTGATATCAAATTGGTTTCAGCAAATATAAATGATCTAATGGTCCTGATCTCAACATTTCTGGTCCCAAAAAAATATTCATACATGTATTTTAAAAAAAATAACAATTATTTGCATTTATAAAAGTATGGTTATCTATAACAACATTACCGTATCAGCTAGTTATAACATTAATTAATTAACTTCGAACTTATAATTTAAAAGTGAGATCTAGTGGCGTCAATTTTACATGATATTTCTTAAAAAAGTCTAGTCTTTTCTTTAAAAATAAATTCTACATGGAGATAACCTAAATGTTACAAAAAGCATTGTGATAATTTCACAATACAACAGATTATGAAACATTGTAATTATTAGACTTAAAACTTAATAAACAGCTATTTTTTGTTACTGGCACAATATATATTAGTATTATTAGCGATATCGCCTTAAGGCAATTTTGCTTTATGAAATCATATTAAAATATTGAGTTTTTAAAAATATATGGTGTATTTGTATAACTCAAGCGACATATCTTTTGTAAATCTATTCACATTTTGGTGGAGAATGGAGAGGTTATCAAGAAAATTTTATGCACATGATCTTAAAATGTGCCATACACTAAAACATTGTCTGATTTTATCAAAAAAACTCATATAAAGTTATATTTGAGAGAAACATATTCCCTAATCATATGATATTCTATAAGATCTTAGATATATATATACTTAAGAAATGTTAATGAATTTATACTGTTAACTCATTTGCAGTGCCGTAGTATTAAAATTGACGAAAAGGGCTTGCTATTTTTCAAAAAAATAGAGGTAGTGTTGTTAAACAGCTTGATTTGAGCCGATTTTTAAAAATGGCTAACTCAATATTTTATCCAGAAAAATTTTATTCAAACCTGAAGATTTTAATCATAGATAACACAAAGTTTTGAACATCTATTAGTGGAATCTAGAGGTTTAGGCAATATTTTTATGGCTAATAGACTATTTTTTGGGTAAATATTTATTATTTTTTTAAAACAAAAAATATTTGGAAATTTTTTGTAGACTTAAAAAATAAAAGGAAAAAAAATACGAAAAATAGCAATGCCACCAAATATTTAAAACAAACCAAAAGAGGGTGTCAGGTTAAACAACAATAAGTATCAAGAATAAGTTAAATGATTATTATATTTAAGAATTGTAATGATCACTTTTTTTGATTCGTGGATTTTTTGTTTTACTTTATTTTAAAAAATATAAAGAAGAGAAATAGAATATCATTGAAAATCAATTATAGGGTATTGTCATAAGAGGCGATATTCTTAAAATAAAAATTAAGTAAAATTTCAATAATTTTATATATGGGAATTACTGTATCATCTCTCGTTTCGATATCCTACAGCTAGTTTCTTTTTCATAAATTTTACATATATGTTTTACAATTTCTTGCTAAGAACTAAAGGGTGGTGTGTTCAGGGGGAAAATATTATAAAGATTATGATTGGCTGATGGTTTTTATATTATGGAAAGTTAGAAGATGAAACTTTGTCCAAAATTTTGAAAAAAAATATATATAACGTTATAAAGAAAGCCTGAGCTTAAAGCTTATATCATAGATTAAAATTTGTTTAAATTATATTAAAATAACTCCCAACTAAAGTGTATACATTTTCAAAATTTGATACTAGATATTAAATCAATATAAATAAAATAAAATGGATTTTAAGTTAGTTTGAGGTAATTATAAAAGTTTGATTCGCCCTTTTTTGGAATTCAATATATAATAATGTGTCCTCTGTGCTAGAGTAGGGTGATTGTGAATTTTATTGCATTATTTATAAATTGATCTTTTATCTTTTTACTTAAAATACATTGATAATTAATGATTGTTTGTTTCATTCAAACATAACTTCTACATTTTGTTTTATATAGATCATTAAATATAAAAAAAAATATATAAAATCTTTAATAGCTAACGGCACAAATTTTTTTAAAAATATTTGAAATAATTGTGCTTTATCAAGAAATATACATACAAGAAACTTAGACATTTTGACTGCTTGGAACAAGATTCTAAATTTTCTTTAAATTTTATAAATTTCCTCTCAATATATTATGAAAGCTACAAATATGGTATTATCTATCAATAAAAATTTGCCTATTATGATACCAGATGATATTTGCATGGAAACTGTTAAGGTTGGCAGGGAGTTAGACAAGATTTAACAAAAAGATTTAAAACTTTTATTAAATAAATATATTTTAAAAATATTTAACTACAATATAACTGAAAAACTATAATAAATTTATCCTTTATATATAAAAAAAAACTATTAAATAATTAAATGAAACTATTAAGTAAAGTTACGTCATACGTCATAATAAGCTCAATTGCCCTTTATCGCTATATGAAACAGCAGAGCTACGCTTGGACTATCTCATCCCATCTAATTGGGTTAAGAAATTTGGGGGTAGCCTATGAGATGAGCCCATCCACAATTTTTGGGCAGGCTGCAGTTACCTGTGCGCGCAAGAGGCGAAACCACTTGCTTAAACGCCTACGGGAGATAAGAAGAGAGAGAGAAAAGCCCGTACCCGATTAAGTAAAATGTATATTATAGGGAGGGGTATTGGTAAATTTTAAGTTTATGGTCTATATTGAATTTGTTTATTAACTCAACTTTGCTTTTTGTAAAATATTGAGATATAATGTTCATAGAATCTGTAAATAAATATGATTAAAATAAAATAATATTTACCGTTTTATCACTTCAAATTTTCCACCAGATGAACCGAACCTCAAATAAGAGTTTCAAATCTGAAGTTTCATATTCCATGAATCATTAAGTAAAGTTAATATAAATTGTGTAAATTAAATGAATGCGACATACAAAAATTTGCGCTATATAACAACCATTGTAATAAAATAATAATCCATGTTTAACAGAAACTGAAATACCGCAGTGTAGAATTAGTATTAAAAGGAAGATGTGTTTTATTAAATGTTCAGATGAACCTCCAAATGACTTTTCAAATTTACAGAATTGAAGTATTTTGTGATATCATCGATAAGATAGTAACTAGTTTGTGCTAAATATTTCCATCCTAGATGTTTTAATGAAACTAATAGGAAAAGTATAACTAAAGAGGCTTTGAAAAGAATCTCTTTGTTAGCTAAGGTAGATAATAAGCTGATATAAAATTCATTTTCTAGAATTTATAAAAATCTACTTATTGATTTGAAGACGAGTATAGACGATTTGATTCATCATAGTGATTACTAATCAGAACCCGAAAGTGAGAATAAAGAATTTATTCAAGATTTTATGAAATAAAGTTGCAATGATGGAGAACATTTAAAGAAATGCATTAAAAATACAAGTGTTGTTATGCCTATATGAAACGGTGTGTCTATATAATATGCATATATTACTTATATATAGTATACGAATATCTTCTCATTTAATTTTTTTCACAGGTGAGATGCGAACGAACTTTAAGAGAAATTGTTGCGTTATTATAATTATATATTTTTGTAATCTAATTTTATTTTTTACATTTTATGAATTCAAATTTATCTTTTCAATTTAACTTTTTATTTTTGTAATTCAACTTATATTACTTATTATTTTGCGTAACCTTATTTATATAACTTTCGGTTTAACTTTACTTTTTTTATATTATTTTATTTTTTATATTTGTTTATATTCTAATTTATATTTTATAAAAGGTATAAATACCTTAAGAAAAGAAAAAGAAATTAGTCAATAAAGTTAATAAAATATATTTTTTATTTGATAAAGTTATTAAATCTTATTTATTATTCACCGGCACATATTCATGTTATTCTACACCAGCAATCCAATGGCCAGGTTGAACGCATGGTTAGAACGTTTAAAACACACATGAAAAGGAATATTAAAGTAGACCCAGATATCGCACTTAGCAAATTTTTACTTAATTACAGAAATACGCGTAATGATACTACAGGAGTTACACCATCACAGAGAATGTTTAATCGAGATATTAGAATTAAATGGGACTTATTAAAACCGATGGAGGAAAAGAAGAATAAAATAAACGTCACTTTACCACGAAATAGAACTTTTAACGTAGGAGATTTTGTTTGGTATAAAATACAAGGGGATGATAAATGGTGCAAAGGTATTATCACACATAAAGAAAGTGATATGATGTTCCAAATTAAGACTGAGAAAGGTATTTTGAGGAGACATTTAGATCAAATAAGAATTAGAAACTGTTTTAACACAATTATTAATAATGACTCTAAGGATTCTTTTAAGGAGGGAAGTTTGGACAAAAATATAAAAATTACTGATAATAACGATATAACACCTATCTCTAGACCTGTGCGAATTAAAAATAAACCTGCTTATTTAAAAGACTATGTAACTTAAAATATAAAATAAATATTAAATTGCATAAACTAAATTAAATATTAAAACGCTTATATTAAAACGCTAAAAATATAACAATCTTATTGATTTATCATTCTTCATTTATTCTTATGATGAACTATTATTTCTTATTCGCAACTTATTTTATTGATTTATCATTCTTCATTTATTCTTATGATGAACTATTATTTCTTATTCGCAACTTATTTATGATAATAACAATTTCGGAAAAATGACAATTAACAATTGAGTACTATCAAACAAGCTATGATCAATGGAGACAATTTACGATATGGATATCAAGCTTGCGATTTAAACAAACCAACGTGCAAAATCGATTTATACAAACCAACGATTGGACAAGCCAACGTTATGATGATTTGTGATACAACTTGGTTACCAAAACGATAAACCACTTGGACAACAAACTCTCTGTGTCTTCTCCGATGAAATTATCAGAAGAGGGAGAATGTTGCGTTATTATAATTATATATTTTTGTAATCTAATTTTATTTTTATATTACATTTTATGAATTCAAATTTATCTTTTCAATTTAACTTTTTATTTTTGTAATTCAACTTATATTACTTATTATTTTGCGTAACCTTATTTATATAACTTTCGGTTTAACTTTACTTTTTTTATATTATTTTATTTTTTATATTTGTTTATATTCTAATTTATATTTTATAAAAGGTATAAATACCTTAAGAAAAGAAAAAGAAATTAGTCAATAAAGTTAATAAAATATATTTTTTATTTGATAAAGTTATTAAATCTTATTTATTATTCACCGGCACATATTCATGTTATTCTACAGAAATAAAAATAGACTGCTAGCAAATTTTTGGCCAGATTATCTAGAAGACTTTTTAATAATGTAAGTAGAAATAAAATTATTGAAAGAAATCGAATTAAGTGGGATTCATGATTATTTGCACAAGTTTACCAATACGAAAATTGTTAAACCAACTTTGGAGGAAATTTAACCTTAAGCCCAACTTCAGCAAATTCCTTTCCTTCCAAGTGTTCAAAACCGATTTAGAATTAAACGTTTAATAGTTTCTTATAGTATTAATTTTATATCATTTAATTTTAATATATTAGAATCTAGAACTTACATACAATGATAAATTATAATCATTCTAATTCTGCATCTTTTCCTATTTTGGGAATCTACTGGACTACCAATGCAAGTATATGTTAAAAACCGAATCAGAAGTAATTTTTCGATCACCAACATTCATATTTCTAGATAGTAACGATTTTATCAATTCAAAAAGAAAATTATTCTCTTTTTGTCTCACTCCTATGCCTCTATTTTTCAAAACCAATTGCAGCAGATACAAGATTTAGTGAAATCAGTTTTGAGCTCTGTTTAACGATATATTATTATTGAATCACTATCAGCATATAATTGCATGAAAAAACTGTAATACATGTTATAGAAGAATGCCCCTTACTCTCAACCCTTCCCTTTAAAAATATAACTTATCAATCCAAAACAATCCTTTTCTAATAATTAAATAAATACCAACAATAAACATTACCATCTAGAAATAGTCCAAGTTCCCATATAGTTTACAAATTCAATTTATTCATACAAATATATATATTATCAATCCCGGCTTTATCCAATACAAATATAAATATATAAAAATATGATCAATCCCGTCTTCATCCAATATAATGTCTTCTTCACTCCAAACCGCACACCAAGAAACTTCCATTGTTCTTTACCAAACCCATGTGATGATTTCTATTCACTCCTATCCACAAGGAAACACTAATTCCTCTGTCAGAAAATAACTGACATTTGATATATTATATTAAATTTATTTCTTCTTTTTTTTAAAAGCTACAACACATATTTTATTTCTTTTTTAAAAATATTTTATTTTATTATATTATATTTTGTTTTTTATTTTAATATTATAAAAATATATCACCACTTTTATTTAATTCTTACAAATATTTCATTTTTTTGTTACATTGTTAACTTATTTATTTTTCTAATCATCTTTAAAGATATTGTAATCTCTGATTCCCCACTATTTATTATTCCCCTTTATTTGCAACAGACATCCTTCTCTATCATATAAATATAAAATTAATATATATATAACAGAAAAGAATTAGTAAATATATAACAAATTAATCCTAATAATAAAAAATTTGGGTAAACTACATTAAAAATTTCTTTATTAAAGGCTTATTGGCTTGATGCCATTAAATGATGAAGGAAATAATATGTATAATAATTTTGAATATAAAAGTTTATAAATTGAAGAATAATATATTAAAACTCAAAGTATAATATATTCAAACTCAAAGAACTAGTAATTCTTTTAAATGGATTTTACATAAATATTAAATCTAAGAATTTTTTTAAATTTTAATATAGTGGAGTAGATTTCAAATAAAATCATATAAATCCCGCAGGCCGGGTAAAAGCGGTCCGAAGGTCAGCATGCGGCCTCTTTTAGAAATGTCCTATGGGGCCTTTAGCCTCCCAATCCGCCCCTGAAATAGAGCTATTATCTACTCCCCTTAATTTCAATATGGAGGCTTTGAATTGCGAAAATGATCAGGGATATAAACCCTTTGACAAAGAAAAGGATCCGGTTTCAGGAATAAAATTTTAATAAAGGTTCGGGTTCAGGGTCCTAGTTAGGTTCCAAGTCAATTCAGCAAACCTATCGCGAAACACCTTTTCGCGAAACTTTTACCGCGAATGTCGTTTATACGAATTAATTTCATAGCAATCGCGAATACGCCAAAGCGAATACATTACAGTAAAAGTTTTAGGGGGGGGGGAGTCAATATTGGCAAAAATTTTATAACGAAGTCATTACACGAAACATATATCGCGAAAATATTATAGCAAATTTAATGTCACAATATTAATATTTCGATAATTGCAATAGTGACGATTTTATTTTGATTATTAATTGAATAATATTTTTTTAAAAATAGATACAATATGGATTCAATGATAGAGTTTTTAATTTTCTTTTAGCCTTATAAATTTATAAAAAGATTAATGAACAATTTAGTTTATAAAAATTTGCAATCTTAGTTGTGCTTTTCTCGAAGTCTTATTTTATAAGAATCGTGGACAATGAATTTAGACTTTATTAACCATTGTTATTAACATATTAATCATCTAGTTCATTACCTTGATTCTTATTGGCAAAATTGATAACTGGGTTACCCCAATATTTATTGTTTAAAGTAATTAATATTTATAAATTCATCAATCAGTTTTGCCAGTTACTAACCAAAAACAGAGTTATAAACTATTAGATTTTCTTTATCGAATTTTGAATGGCAATCCTATTATAAATTACATCTCTAAATATAAGGGATTTCCCTAATTTAAAAAATATCTTCAATGATTTTACGATCTTTGAATATGTTGTTTTCCTTTAAATAAATGAATTCGCAATATATTTACTTTTCGCAGTAATGCGCTTTCAATAATGATTTCGCGCAAATACCTTTGCGGTAGAAAATTCGCTATGATGGGTTCGTGATAAGTTTTTATAAAATGTATTGCTCTAAAGTATTCGCGGTTAAGGTTTAGCGAATAAATTCGCGATGATGTGTTCGCAAAATTGGTTTGCTATGTTTTGCGCGAAAAACTTGCCGAATTGGTTTCGGGATATTACCTTTGCTATAAACTTTGTTCGCGATCAAAGTTTCGCTGAATTGACCTGATACACTTGGTATTTGGAGAGCGCAAAGAAATATTGACTCAAAATAACACCATTATATTTTTAAACTCCATATAAATATACATGCATAATTTACAAATAAAAAAATTTAAAAATTAATTTATAATTATATTTAAATATTTTGTTGGATCGTATAACCTTAATATGATTTATTCTAAAATAATATAGCTTACACTACAAAACACAGGCGTATCCAAAATTTTACTAAGGGAATTGGGAGCACTATTAGGTGGGGTTTTCCCCAATGAATTTTGTTGAAAATCTTTAGATCCTCTTATTATAGGACTTTAGCTATTCGATTTTTTTAAAATAATTTTGGGATTACATATGATTATAATTGATGCCACACTAAATTTAAATTTGCTGTGAGCCCCTAAAATAATGTCTTTTAAAGTTTCTAAATACTTTCATTTTTAAATCCTTTACATTTCTGTCAAATGATGTTGTCATATTTGACAGAACGCGGGGCTGTCAAGTTATCAGTGTACTTTTTTTTATTACAATTCTCCTCCTCAAATAAATTTTTATTTAAACTTATGGGTTAATTAACCACTGTTAATGATGGGTGACTTTGATTATAAAAATGCACAATTATACATATTAGAATCTAAATTTAACATATATAATAAGCCCAACAAACTATTGCAATAGACACTAAAACATCAAATTTGGTATTATGCATAACAATTCCTTTAGTAACAGTATTGAAGAAAAAAATAATTTTTCTATTAACAATACGAATTGCTGCAACATGTTGGATTGTGCTAATGATGACATATTTTTATTACCAAACCAAGATATTAAACAAAATTCAAAGAAAAATATTCAGAAATCATATTCAGGAAATGATATGCCAGCTACTACCTCCTTGGAAGATTATATTGATGGACTTCATAATTTTAATCTATCTTTAGCAACAAATTCAAGTAACAATGACACCACAAATCAAAATAATTATGCTAATAAAACAATCTCAAACATAACCTCATTAAATAATGAAGTATATGAAAATCAATTTCTAGAAAAAGATAATAATGAGGGGGTTTATTCTATAAAATCAGACAATTTATTTAATGACATTAATAATTCTTTAAATTATGATAATAAAAAGAATAACCATATTTTTAAGAATGAATCAACTAGTGATAAAAACAATGATTATTCCTATAATGATAAATCACCACACAAAATAAACTCTATGCTTGGATATATTAAACCATTTTGGATTCCTGATGATCAAACGGATTGTTGTATGTATTGTGATCAAAAATTTACAATTGTTAAAAGAAGGCATCATTGTAGAGCTTGCGGAAAAGTTATTTCTAACGAATTATCTTATTACTTTAATATTCTTTTAATGTTCAGTTATATATTGCTAATGTTCTAATTTCAAGTAATTATTAATACACATTTTTCTCCCACTTTATGGTACATTACATTTTGTGTTGTGCAAAAATAATAATATTGATATAGACCTGCAGAAACAATTTTTTTTTGTCCTGACCCAGCCCATAACCTGGAAGCATAACTTTTTGAGTTATAATATAGCTCAAATTTTTATAAAGCATATATGGAAAATGATTGTGCGAGAAGCTATATATTATAGTATACAATGGGAAAATTGAAATAGAAGTAATTGCAGAGATAATGAGAAGAATTAGATTGAGGTGGTTTGGGCATATAAAAGATCATTGGTATAGGGGGAGATATAGGAAATGGGATCAAGGCCTTAAGGTAGACCAAAGAAGATATGGATGAAAGTGATATATGAGAATAATAGGTCATATAACAATGCACAGGACCATAAAAAGTGGAGAAAATGGATGAGAGGGCAAACTGTTCATCCAAGTAAACTCTAAAACTGCCAATAAGTGATAAAAAAGAAAAAAATATTTTTCACCTTATTTTTTTAACTTTTTTTTTATTTTTAAATTCTTTTTTAATTATCATATTCAATCAGGAAGTAAAGGAATAATATGCAAGAAATATATTAATATTTTCATGAGTTGGGTCTATATTGTTTATGCCTATGGCTAGTCTTTGAGCATTGCAATTTATTTATTTTGAATATTGAAACTGTTACTATGAAAAAATACATTGCATAAATGAATGGTTATAATTTATATTATTGATATATGTTTATTACAGAAATTCTAAATTTAAATTAATAAATGTGTAGATTTTATTTTATACCATCTTGATTATTCTATAAATATCATGATAATTTCTATTTTAAACCTTTTTAATCTTTTTTTAATAATAAAATTATCCAAGTTTTTATATAGTAAACAAGATTTCTTATCTCTTACCACTATTTTTGCCATGCTTAACATCGTTTATTAGGTGCCAATGTTGACAGAGGTGTATTGTATTATAGACAAGATTTAATGCTTGGAAATTTTTATGGATTTCCGAAGATGTATTATTTCTCAAATAATTTTGATAATTCATCTTAGTCAGTAGACATATCTACATAAAGTAGCTTTTGCTTATATTGGGGAAAATGTTTTTTGACATTCATTTTTTCTATAAATCTCTTATTTTTTGTAACTTATAACCATTCACTACAAAGGTGCAGAAACACCCTTAACTATAAAGGGGTCTATTTTACCCTGTATTTTGATTAGCTATATCTCAGAACATATTAAAATAAAATTTTGAATATATATTTAAAAATATTAAAGATAATAAATACAAAATTTTAGATTCATATTTAATTCCAAGAAAAGTTATGTGAATTTTTCTAAAGTTGCTGAAATAAAAAGTATTTTGGGACCTTCCTTTAATTATAGTATTATCACCAAAAAAAATTTAAAAATGGAAATTTTATTATATATTTTATTAATTCAATGTTGAATAATGATAATTAAAAAAAATATTAGGTATCAAATATGATTATATTTTTGTTATATTCATGACAAGATATATGCATATGATCTTTACTAATTAATTTTGAACAATTAAAACAAATAAATGTTGTTTTTTTGTCCTTCATCCTTGGACCACTATAAGATGTTCCCTTTTTATTAGTTGGAATATGTTTTACATCACTTATTTTGAGAATATCCCTGAAGTTGTTTCATATAATCTACCTACATGAGGGTTTTCATATCTACTGCTCATATATGAAGTTGTGACTTTCATTGCTAATATTTTGATAAATTTGGATTTATTTATATTCAATTATTAGCTTGCTTTATAAACTATTAGAGCATTTATTAGTAATATATTAAGTATAGTATAAAAAAGGATCAAAGGCCATCTATTAGATTATAAATTAAACATTCACTTCAGCTTTTGTTAAATTATAAAATATAATTATTTTTGGCTTTTAAGCTCCTCAGTTGATGCGTTATTTTATCATCATATTATAATGTAGTGGGAAAACAAAACATTTTTATACCTTATTGGTATGTATATAATAAGACTATAGTTATTTTCCTTGAATGAAAATATACTAAAGTATACATTTCTTTTTTTATTAATAAAGAAAACAGGTGTCTGCTTTTTATTTTTTTAAAATAGTTCCTACTAAAGGAATGTGAATTTAAGCTTTACATTATTTATCTCAGCAAGTATTACAGATTGAATTATGAAATACACAAATCAAAAGATTGAGGCACTTGAAAAAGATGACTATTTATCATACTATAATGGATGAAAGTGAAATTAATGTCCTGGTTGATTTGTTAATGATAGCTGGTGATGAATAGAAATAGATTCCAATTTCTATTGAAAGTTCTAAGATTTGATGATAGGAATACAAGAAATACAAGGAAAGCAAATGATAAAGTCACACATATTAGAGAAATTTTTAATAATTTTAATGATAATTGCAATAATTTTTATACTGTTCAACAAGTATAATGATAAGATGCTTCCTGCATTTAAAGGCAAATGTCTTTTTAGGCAATATATGCAAGATAAGCCATCAAAATATGGTCTAAAATCTATGCTCTAGTGGATTCTAGGATTTTTTACACATTAAAAATGGAATTATATGCTGACATCAGAAGGACTAATAAAAATATTACAATTGACAATTGGTTTACAAGCTATGACTTAGCAAATCATATGTTAAATTCACATTCCCTAACTTTAAAACTATTTTAAAAAATAAAAAGCAGATATCTGTTTTCTTTATTAATAAAAAAAGAGATGTAAACTCTAATTTATTTGCATTCAAGGAAAAAAGTAGCCTCATATATAAAAAAAGTATAAGAATATAGTTTTGCTCTCCACATTATTTATATATATCTTGTCATGAATATTATTACAAAAATATACATGATATTTGATGCTTAATATTTTTTTATAAAATTTATGTAATTATCATTATTCAACATCGAATTAATAAAATATATTTAAAAAATTTGCATTTTTAAATTTTTTTGGTGAAAATACTGTATTTAAAGGAAGATCCCAAGTTTTTTTTTTATTTCAGCAACTTTAGGAAATTTTTTGGAAGTCTAAAATTATGAATTTATTATCTCCAATATTTTTTAAATATATTTATTCAAAATTTTTGATCTCAAATTTTAATATGTTCTGAGATATAGCTAATCAAAATTTGGGGTAAAATCAACCCCACCTTTGTAGTAAAGGATATTTTTCCCAGCTTTGTGGTGAAGGGTTAAAAATCTTTTTAATTTATTTCATTATTAATATTATAAGTGTTAGTTTTGAATTACTTATACATACATATTAAATATAATTTTTTTTAGTGTTTAACGATTGAGGTTACCTTATAAATTTACCTGCATGGATGATAGCATTTTTAATAATTTTTTTTTAAAAATTTGATTACATATTTAGGTGTTAAATATGAGTTAATTAATTTTCATTTTTTTACTGCCTTAAATTTAAAATAAATTGCTTACACACATTTATATATGATTTGCAATCTTAACAAAATACTTTGTATTACTATATATAGATTCTCTGTGCTAATTGTTGCAATAAAAAGTTAGTATTACCCTCAATGGATTTCAAACTTTCTCGGGTATGCATGGCTTGTTTTCAATTGCTTGAGAATGATATAGGTAACTTATGATTATTGAATGACTGTGGCAAGGCAATGGTATTTTATATTATTGGAGGGCCAGATAATAATATATAACATAATAAGGTCCGTGAAGTTGGCCGAACAATTGGAAGCACTAACGATGAATTTTATATCATTTTTTAGTGCTTCGTTAGTGCTTGTTAGTGCTTCAATCCGTTTAGTAGCCGAATTTAAGGGGAAAAGTTATAAGCAAAAATAAAAATTTGTGCCAACTTCACGCTTAAAAGTCGATTGGAAGCACTAACGATGAAATATATATCATTCTTTAGTGCTTTGTAAGTAGAGGTTAGTGCTTCGATCCGGATAGTAGCCGAATTTAAGGGAAAAAAGTTCGCGAAAAAAATAAAAATAAACAAATATTGGCGACTTGCCAAAACAAAAACTATAATAGTACAAAACATCCGGTTTTCGCCATTATTTAGTGCTTAATTAGTAAATTTTAATTCCGTAATTTTTATGGTTAACCGCCTTATAAAAAAAAGATATTAGGTATATAAAAATTATGACGTCACGATTTAAGCGTGAAGTTGGCCGAACTTTTGGAAGCACTAACGATGAAATGTATATCATTCTTTAGTGCTTCGTTTGTAGAGGTTAGTGCTTCAAACCGGATAGTAGCCGAATTTAAGGAAAAAAAGTTATTCGCGAAAAAAACAAAAATAAACAAATATTGGCGAATTGCCAAAACAAAAACTATAATAGTACAAAACATCCGGTTTTCGCCATTATTTAGTGCTTAATTAGTGTATTTAAATTCCGTTATTTTTTTAACCGTCATATGAAAAAATTGTAACACGCTAAAGAAATTTTTAGAAGTCAAATTTCGGCTGGAAAATTATGAAAGCACTAACGATGAAACTTATATCATTCTTTAGTGCTTCGTTAGTAGAGGTTAGTGCTTTAATCAGTTTTATAGCCGAATTTAAGAATAAAAAGTTATTCACGAAAAAACAAAAATATGGCGACGTGCCAAAACAAAAACTATAGGAGTACTAAACATCCGGTTTTCGCCATTATTTAGTGCTTAATTAGTGTATTTAAATTCCGTTATTAATTTACTTAACTGTCATATGGAAAAATTGTAAAATGCGAAATTTTTAGAGGTCAAATTTCGGCTGGAAAATTATGAAAGCACTAACGATGAAACTTATATCATTCTTTAGTGCTTCGTTAGTAGAGGTTAGTGCTTTAATCAGTTTTATAGCCGAATTTAAAAATCAAAAGTTATTTGCGAAAAAAAGAAAGAATGACGACGTGCCAAAACAAAAACTATAATAGTACTAAACATCCGGTTTTCGCCATTATTTAGTGTTTAATTAGTATATTTAAATTCCGCTATTTATTTTGTTAACCGTCATATGAAAAAATTGTAACACGCTAAAGAAATTTTTAGAGGTCAAATTTCGGCTGGAAAATTATGAAAGCACTAACGATGAAACTTATATCATTCTTTAGTGCTTCGTTAGTATAGGTTAGTGCTTTAATCAGTTCCGTAGCCGAATTTAAGAATAAAAAGTTATTAGCAAAATAAAAACTATGACGTAACGATTTAGGCGTGAAGTTGGCCGAACTTTTGGAAGCACTAACGATGAAACTTATATCATTCTTTAGTGCTTCGTTAGTAGAGGTTAGTGCTTCTATCAGTTCCGTAGCCGAATTTAAGAATAAAAAGTTATTCACGAAAAAAACAAAAATAAACAAATAATGGCGACTTGCCAAAACAAAAACTATAGGAGTACTAAACATCCGGTTTTCGCCATTATTTAGTGCTTAATTAGTATATTTAAATTCCGTAATTTATTTTGTTAACCGTCATATGAAAAAATTGTAACACGCTAAACAAATTTTTAGAGGTCAAATTTCGGATGGAAAATTATGAAAGCACTAACGATGAAACTTATATCATTCTTTAGTGCTTCGTTAGTAGAGGTTAGTGCTTTAATCAGTTTTGTAGCCGAATTTAAGAATAAAAAGTTATTCACGAAAAAACAAAAATATGGCGACGTGCCAAAACAAAAACTATAGGAGTACTAAACATCCGGTTTTCGCCATTATTTAGTGCTTAATTAGTGTATTTAAATTCCGTTATTAATTTACTTAACTGTCATATGGAAAAATTGTAAAATGCTAAAGAAAATTTTAGAGGTCAAATTTCGGCTGGAAAATTATGAAAGCACTAACGATGAAACTTATATCATTCTTTAGTGCTTCGTTAGTAGAGGTTAGTGCTTTAATCAGTTTTCTACGAATTTAAAAATCAAAAGTTATTTGCGAAAAAAGAAATAATGGCGACGTGCCAAAACAAAAACTATAATAGTACTAAACATCCGGTTTTCGCCATTATTTAGTGTTTAATTAGTATATTTAAATTCCGCAATTTATTTTGTTAACCGTCATATGAAAAAATTGTAACACGCTAAAGAAATTTTTAGAGGTCAAATTTCGGCTGGAAAATTATGAAAGCAATAACGATTAAACTTATATCATTCTTTAGTGCTTCGTTAGTAGAGTGCTTCAATCAGTTCCGTAGCCGAATTTAAGAATAAAAAGTTATTCACGAAAAAAACAAAAATAAACAAATAATGGCGACGTGCCAAAACAAAAACTATAGGAGTACTAAACATCCGGTTTTCGCCATTATTTAGTGCTTAATTAGTGTATTTAATATCCATTTAATTTTGTTAACCGTTATATGAAAAAATTGTAAAACGCTAAAGAAAAAACCTTTATGGCATAGTTATAAATAATATTTAATTTTTTAATACATATAATGCAATATAATTTTATTTGAATTGTATATGATAATTTACAATTCACTTAAAATATCAAATAAATAATATATATGTTTTTAGGATTGAAGAATGTTTTTATCTTGGGAGGAGCTTATCAAATCAAATGATTTTACACGACCCCTAAATAAATTATGGCATTTGTGACAACAGAAATTGTGAATTGAAAATTATCCTATACAATTCAAATAAAATTATATTGCATTATATGTATTAAAAAATTAAATATTATTTATAGCTATGCCATAAAGATTTTTTAAACTATATTCCTATTATATTCGTACTTGTTTATATTTGTTATATAGAATGTTTTATTGATTATAAGCTTATTTTCGCTAATTGCTGCTTTATTCGTTGAAAATTATATCATACATTTTTTATAATTTAATCCTTCTTTATTCTTCCATCAATATTTTAGTTATAATATTCGAATAAAAATATAACTCTCTTATTCTACAATCTATTTATATTATCGAGTATCAGTTTTCCAATAAAAAGATATAACGCTTGAGGATTATATTTTCGACCACTAAGTGGAGTTGGACTTGCATTTTTCTTTAGTTGTTTTGATAATTTCTAGAGAAGAGTTTGAATACAATTATTCATATCTATCTATAGAAACATAATCAATTTGATTTCTTAAGATTTTAAAGAGGTGTCAGAAAATTTGAATTATTGATATGCTATAATGAATCAGGGTAACTATCAGAATTTCTGCATAATTATATTGATAATAATGAGATCTAAATGTATAAGTTTCATCGTTAGTGCTTTCATAATTTTCCAGCCGTAATTTGACCTCTAAAAATTTGTTTAGCGTGTTACAATTTTTTCATATGACGGTTAACAAAATAAATTGCGGAATTTAAATATACTAATTAAGCACTAAATAATGGCGAAAACCGGATGTTTAGTACTCCTATAGTTTTTGTTTTGGCACGTCGCCATTATTTCTTTTTTTCGCAAATAACTTTTGATTTTTAAATTCGGCTACAAAACTGATTGAAGCACTAACCTCTACTAACGAATCACTTAAGAATGATATAAGTTTTATCGTTTGTGCTTTCATAATTTTCCAGCCGAAATTTAACCTCTAAAAATTTCTTTAGCGTGTTACAATTTTTTCATATGACGGTTAACAAAATAAATAGCGGAATTTAAATATACTAATTAAACACTAAATAATGGCGAAAACCGGATGTTTAGTACTATTATAGTTTTTGTTTTGGCACGTCGTCATTCTTTCTTTTTTTCGCAAATAACTTTTGATTTTTAAATTCGGCTACAAAACTGATTAAAGCACTAACCTCTACTAACGAAGCACTAAAGAATGATATAAGTTTCATCGTTAGTGCTTTCATAATTTTCCAGCCGAAATTTGACCTCTAAAAATTTGGCATTTTACAATTTTTCCATATGACAGTTAAGTAAATTAATAACGGAATTTAAATACACTAATTAAGCACTAAATAATGGCGAAAACCGGATGTTTAGTACTACTATAGTTTTTGTTTTGGCACGTCGCCATATTTTTGTTTTTTCGTGAATAACTTTTTATTCTTAAATTCGGCTACAAAACTGATTAAAGCACTAACCTCTACTAACGAAGCACTAAAGAATGATATAAGTTTCATCGTTAGTGCTTTCATAATTTTCCAGCCGAAATTTGACTTCTAAAAATTTGTTTAGCGTGTTACAATTTTTTCATATGACGGTTAACAAAATAAATTACGGAATTTAAATATACTAATTAAGCACTAAATAATGGCGAAAACCGGATGTTTAGTACTCCTATAGTTTTTGTTTTGGCACGTCGCCATTATTTGTTTATTTTTGTTTTTTTCGTGAATAACTTTATTCTTAAATTCGGCTACGGAACTGATAGAAGCACTAACCTCTACTAACGAAGCACTAAAGAATGATATAAGTTTCATCGTTAGTGCTTCCAAAAGTTCGGCCAACTTCACGCCTAAATCGTGACGTCATAGTTTTTATTTTGCTAATAACTTTTTATTCTTAAATTCGGCTACTATACGGATTGAAGCACTAACGAAGCACTAAAAAATGACATATGTTTCATCGTTAGTGCTTTCATAATTTTCTTGCCGAAATTTGACCTCTAAAAATTTCTTTTGCGTGTTACAATATTTTCATATGACGGTTAACAAAATAAATAACAGAATTTAAA